CCGCTGCAATCAAATGATTATTGAATAACATATCTTGCAGAAGTTCAAGAACCATCTATCATAGAAAAGAGAAACGTTCTTATCCAACGTAGATATTGTAGAAAGTGATCTTACCTCTTTCAATTTTGGATTGGTATGAAAATCCTAAATTAAATTACAAAAAATGTAAATAAGTCATAAGCATAATAGAAAGAGTAGTATTTATTTGTAAAGTTATGGACAACAAGAAAAAGACTAATCAATAGAATTTGAAAATTTCCTCCAATATAGAAATGTTCTCAATATTTGATAACAGTTCGACTGAAATTTAACTGTGCTATGTTGAATACGAATTGTCAAGGTAAAGATTAGATTCTTAAAATAATCTTCAGTTTATTTTCTAGAGAGTACGATGAATAATAGTATTGCTTGTATAGACAAAATTATCTGACATTCTCAATGCAGTGAATTTTAAAATCTCTCCTGCAAAATGCCACAGGGAAATAAGTACAATACTTTGTAACTGACCGAAAAAGCAATTCTATGAAAGTACTGATTTAATGAAGTTCAGTCGAGATTAATCTATATGATCTCTAGATTTTAAAATATAAAAGTATCAGTGCTAAAATCAAATATTACATTATATTCGATCTATGATTACAGATAGAAGCATATACGATACTTCGTCATAATATCGAATCCTAGAAGAATTATTTTTTGTAATATATCATAAATTTACTAATGGATGTTTTGTAAGCCAATGTCGAAGAACATTGAGAACACGCATTGTTGAAGCTGTATTAACTATAATATAATCATTAGCTCTTTGTTCTCTCGGAGTTAATGGCATAACACTACTACTTGTTGTTGCTGGCTGAATTGACATAGAACAACCACCTTTTTTTAAATTATAAAAAGTTAAACATGAATATTTAAGAGAGAGAAAATGGTAGCATTCAAAATATACCCTGATTACTTGCTAATCGTTCGTTTCTCATAGTTTTTGGTGATTCACCAGACGTAGCAACAGCAAATGCTTGTGTTGCTGCAGCTGAACTTATTCGGCGGCGAGATGTTCGTGATGATGTAACAACAACACCGGGCAAGACTTGTTTCAATGAAGTTTCAGCTGCATTACGTATACTTTGACGTGGTGATGAAAGAACGTCACTGAGACGTTTAGCTTAAAACAACAGAAGAAATACAAGAAATAAGAAACATTAGTTGTAATCTCATACAAAGCAACAGAATATTTTGTGATGTAGTAACAGGTTGTGAATCTAATCGCAATCGTTGTTTTTGTGCTAGTGGACTATCATTTGTATCAAAGCGAAGAGATTTTCTTCCTTCCTGTAAATAAATTTCCATTAAAACAAAGCAATCGATTGAAATTTAACAAAAGTATTATACTTGAGCTCTATTATTGATTTGATTGCTTCCTAGATGTCGTATTGGACCATTGTTTTTCATTGTTAGTAGAACATTAGTTTGAGAATCATTAGGCAAATTAACTGATGGAAAATCAAAAAGTATTTCTAATGAATTAAAATCATTATTTTTTGTTATTTGATTTGAACTTGTATCGGTATGAATCGATATGTCATTCTTGAATGATGAATGTTTCTTTTGTTCTTCATCACGTGACACAGATACAACATCAGAAAATGTCTCTGACGATGCAAGCGGAGCTAAACTACACTGTAATTTATCAATTGATTCTGAAATATTCAAAGATGAGCTGGCTGGTAAAGTAGATTTTCTTTCAATAATTTTGGTTGATGATTCTAAATGATAAAATAAAAATAGATATATTTTTTTCTGCATTTCGTTTTCGAATGAAAACATAGAATTTCTATCAACAGTCAATCTTCGATCAGCATGATACTGAAACCTAACACCAGCATCTGTGCGTAGCGAAGTCAATAGCAGCTTACTATTAATAAAAACTCAATATGATATGCAACTACTCATTTTCCAGCTATGATCCAGTGTAGACTAGTAGAATATTTTAATCATATCTGTTAGTTATGTTCGCCTAGTAGTAATGCGACTCAATAATCCTCAACTATATGCGAGCGAGTTGAGGTTTGCCTGCGTTCGATACTGCGATCCATAGTTTTATAGTGTATCGATAATGCTTAATCAATTCATACTCTTTCAGGTATATGCTCAATGTATTCATGACACGTAATTTTAATTTTAATTTTAATTTTATCTTTAGTCTTGTATTAATATGTTTTATTTTTTATTACAGCGTAGTAGTGAGATGATTTCTCTAAGACTTCTCAAAAGTAGAAAATCTTACTAAAGGACTTCATCGATTAGTAGAATCGAATATTGGCATACTGAATTTAATTAAATCTTTTGAAAAACCTACTTTTTTCGGAATTTTTTTCTATTGTTACCGCTTCATTTTGATCAATACCTATGAAGAACAAAAGTAAATTTGTTTAGTTGTTGAATTTATTGATTTTAAGATTTACTTAATCCTCGTTGAAATGTGCCTATATGTGAGTGTCTTCTTAAATCTCGTTCTTGTTCCGTAGTAGGATTATTCGTTAGAAATTTAGCACCTTAAATAAATCAGTTGATTACATATTTTTGAAAACATTTTTTTTAAATCGAACCTTCTGATACACGTCTAGTTAATTCATTATCAAGTTCATTGATTCGACTGGATTTCTTCTCTCTAAATTAAAATCGAACAACATAAGTTGATTATAAAACATAATCGATTCAGTTTTACTTGTGTCGTTCATCTATTTTGTGAATTGTATGCGAATTCGTTCCATCCATTTCAATAGTATGATCAAGTGATGTGTGCGGTGAAGATTTATAAACTCGAATTAATGTATCCATAACTGTATAGGCATCGGTATACAAACGATAAGTTAAAAGGAATGTATTCAAGAAATCAATGGATAAAAAGCGTAAATCTGTTAAACGTTCAAGTAAACGTTCAACAGTTGCATGTCGAATCTATGGAAAAAAAACAATTTTTGGTAAAAAAAATAAAATTCTCCTATTTTTCTATTAATCTATTTTACTTGAGGAATTTTACAGGAATCAAGTGTTTTAGAATATTTAATTTCTGCATCATCTTTATATAATTTTACATCAGATCTATAATAAAAACAAAGACGAAATAACTAAAATTATGTTTTGCTTTTTTATAAAATTTACTTGACAGATTCAGGTGCAATTACTGATGATGCATTACGAAATGTTCCGGTAACTAATTGAGTATAACGAAGGTTTTGTAAACATTGTGCTATATCTGTACACCATTCAGATTTATGTTTTTCATCATTAGTAACAAACGTAGCTGAATAGGTTGTCTGTTCACGTGATTCAACAATTAAACGAAATAAACGATTAACATGAAGATCTAATTCAGTAGTTGAATCATCTGTAATATTTGAATTTGAATTATCAGCACTTTCTTCTTCTGTGACTGATGCAAGTAAATATTGAGGATCAGTTGTTACATCTTCAACAAGTGTCACATCAGCTAACGGAATTACACCGCAACCCTTTCAGAATAAAATAATATGTTTTTATTTTAAACATAATATTTCTAAAATCTATCAAGCAAAAGTTTAGACATAAAATTTTCACAGATTTGTTTTAAGAATTTACAGACTAACAGTTAAAGATGCAAGTTGGCAGTTAGACAATCAGACTTTTTTGCTCTTTCAAAATATGTGTTCATAATTTTCTTGCCAAATCCAATTGAATAAATGTGATGTGAAGAAAAAAGTTCAAAATTATATTTCTATACAATATTATTGTGTTGAAATTAGTTTATCTATTGTAATCTATGGAATTCAAAACATGGAGCAGTTGTCTTAAGGGTCAATTACGGTATGCGTTGTTTATTTTATTTTATTTTTGCATTTTGCAAGAGAAAGTTTTTAAATTTGATTTTGTTTAGAAGTACCTTGTGAAACAACGTTGTTTTCACCTAGAGCAATTTGAAGCCACACCAGTCAAGAATTGTATAGAAACGGCTATTTTTATCTTTAATGACCTGTTTTTCACTGATATCCCAGGAAGACAATCTGAACACATATTCGAAAGAAGTCAAAATAAATTCGATAGATTTAACCTGTAACTAGTTATCATTTAGTAATCTGAAAATGACAACATATGTCATGTCAAGACTTTTGCGCTTTAGATAAAATATGATATAGTTACTTTCACAAGATGTAATTTTCCACTTGATGCTCGAGTTGTTATAACGAGATGATTAGAAAAAAGATAACATTGTACAACAATTTCATTGCGACGAGTATCTCGTGGTGAAAACCTTTGTCCAAGACTTAATCGATTTCGATCACCGGTCCATAATATGAGACTATCTGTAAAAAAAAATAAATAATTGATTCACTATAAGAATGAATACTATCTAATCAAAAATAGATTTCGAAGTCTATTATATAAATTTTTTTTTTCGTAAAAGAAAAACTAAACCTAATAACATGTGAATTTTTTGCTTTGCACTACTTTTCTAAATTCATGATAACTGATATAGATTTATACAAGTGCGTATTTAGTTGTGGTAGTTATTATGGTTTTAATATTTCAGTTCTATTACAAGAACAGTACGAAGAATATTTTACCTTGTCGACAAAGCACTTGATTGACATCCAATAAAACATCACATCCTTCTGCTATTGATCGTTCAATAGCTAAATTTGCTCGAATATGTTCTGTTTCTGATACTTCATCATGCATAATCTATTTCAAAGAAAAATTGCGATCAATAAGTTTATATTTTATTTAATTAACAAAGCTTACTTTCGAAAGTTCTTCAAGTTTCGCTTTAGTTTGTTCTAATTTTTCTCTTTCAACATGTGCATGTGATGTATATGATAGAATATTTGCAAGTGTTACTATATAGTAAGGAATCTAAAATATAGAAATGAAGAAAAACAAACTACCAAAATAGTTATTTCATATTATAACAAACCCGATTCATCGGTGAAACCAGAAGTGTATCCAATGTTAATCCTTCACATGCTGCTTTCATTTCACATCGTTCAAGAAATTTATTAAAACCAGGATTACCTAATTTACATTCAACTAAACACTAAATAAGCGAATAACATCTTTTGATAAAGAAAAACTGGCAGATAAGAAATTTCTACTTGTAAACTATAATGATGATTTCGAACGTATTCTAAATAAATATGTAACATAGAAATTAACATATCGAATAGATCACCTAAAATTTGATTACATTGATATAAAACATTATATTGAATATCTCTTTTTACCGGTATAAAAAGTTGGCCAATTTTCTAATTTTTTTGATAATCCTTTATAAAATATTTGATGAAGAAATAGAATAATTTCACTTGTAAAAGAATAAGATTTCTTGTTTTATTTAATAATAAATTAAATAAAACAAAGAACATACGTATTAAGAAAAATAGAATTAACATCTTCATGTGTAATTGGTGGTTTTTTTGAGCTTGCAGCTAAAAATAAAAATTTAATTATTCACTCGATATATAATTAGAGTGTAAGCCAACGAAAAACAATTCCTCACCCATTCGAAACGGTCGTACATAATTAGCAACAAGAATTTCTAGTTGATGAACATATTCACGTTCACTTTCAACCAAATTAAATACTATATTATTACGTCTACGAATCAATTCAGCATGTGGCGAGCTAAAAATATATTAAGTACAAAAGTAAAATCGCTCTTATTCCATTCCTACGTTGTAAAATGATTTGTGTTTTTTTCTCACAAAGAAACGAAGTTTACAGTAACTAGTACAAATTTTTCATACTTTTCTATTCGTTAAAGATCATCAGAAGATTGTAAATTTAATTTAAATTGTGACATTATATATTAAAAATAGAAGTTCTATTTTTATCAGCTCGATAAGTATGTTATATTCTACGGAAAAACATGTGAAGCATATAATACACATTTATATTAGCAATTTTGAATTTTTTATTTCTAGAATGTTCAATTTTACATGTCAACAATCTTTAATATTATTGTCAAAATGTCAATTTTCATTTTAAGATTAAATATTGAATTTTTCGCTTATATTGTTTGAAGTATTTTAATTTGACTAAAATTAATATCAACATTCATGTTTATAATTTAGTTTTTCTTAAATCAAATTATTTATCTATTTGAAGTAATATTTCTATTTATTTAATTAAATTAGAGATCAGATTATTTACATGGCGACATAATGAAGCTATTTTCTCACGTAGACTATTTCTCAAAAACAAAAGGAAACTGACATGAGAGATATGACATGCCATAACAAATGAATCATTAATAATACCGTTCATCACAACTGAAGTCACTTGGAAAATGTCAGATTAGTAAATCTGCTTAGATAACTTCTATATCCGTCTTTCATTGTGAAAACTCGGTTAATCCTTTGAATGAAATACTTGATTGAAAAATTTCTTCAATATATCAATTGGTAAATAAATTTTTTCTCGAATTTATATTTAACTACCGTATATATTCTTCAACAATACGTTTCCATCGTTGTCTATATAACCAGCCTCGACAAAGACTTTGAACTTTTTTTATTTTTCGTATTTCTTCTGAATCTTCTTCTGCAATACTTTTTGTTCTTAATAAATGATGTTGACGTCGATAACGAGATAACTAAAAGAAAAATGAATTATAAATAAATAAAACACTCATTATAAAGCTGTTCGTTGTATTTTTATGATTACTTCACTGCGTAATTGTCGAACTTCAGTTGAAAGTTCTTCAACTTGTTGTAAATATTGATATTTAGCTTTAGCTTCACTTTCATAAACTTGTGATAAATGAAGATATTTTTGTTCAAGTTCTTCTTTAACTGATAATAAACGGTTATAGCTGAGTAAAAGCAAAATACAAAATACAAATTATATATTGATCATTTATGATCAGTTTCATGTAACCTGCATGATTGAATACAATCAATCCATACTTGACAATCAGTTTCAGATTCAGCTGCAAATTCAATTGCATTACGACCATCACGTGTATAAGATATTGTAAAGCAATTCTAAGAATATTTAAAAAATGAGAATTCAATTTAAATAACTTTTATTCTTTATATAGGCCCACAATTAAAATTTAAACAATAGTTTTGAAATTGAGTTTTTCTTGCGTATATCTTTATGATGAAAGATCTGTATTAAAAATATTGTTGGTACAATTTATCCTTCAACTTATGTCAATAAACACATAATCGTCTATGAGCAAATAAAAACCTACGTAGGTTGTTAACCTTTTGATAGGAAAATATCGCGATGTCCTTTATTCTGATTATAGAATACGAGGGAAAACATACGTATATATATATATATATATATGTAAATTAGAATGCCGATGAACTAGAGATGCAGAAATAATCATAAGTATAAATTAAACTTTTCTAATGAGAAACAAATTTAGAAATAGTTTTATATATAAATTGTGAACAATTTAATGAATTTTAAGCAATTTTCTGGTCAATTAGAGTTTTGTGAAATAGAGTATTTAGTTTAAATGATTATCTCTGTTATAATACTATCGTAGCTGGAGATAAATGAATGTTTTGAATTAGTTAAATTGAAAATAACGAATGCTACCTAATTTTTATCATAAGATCTGATTTCATAACATCTTAAGATCAATAATCAAGTAACTAATAGAATAATAAGAAAAATAATAGTGACACTCAAGATCTCATTCAATGAATACGATAGATGAGGGTGTATTGAAGTATTGAGCATGTTAAATTTCCTTCCGTTATTCAGCAATATTTATGTCTTAGCGCAGCATGAAAATGAAAAGAATTCCGTCCCTGCTGAGAGACGTGATTTTGTAACTCTCATTCATATTTAAGTCTCATAGGATTATGGTCAGAACACTTTCTTTTTGTGTTATGAAAACAATAGCATATCATATGAAGCTCAACACGAGGAATATGCCTTTGATCTTAGAAGTACAAATTATCGTCATTAGAGTTTCAATATTGAAATACAACGTATGGTTCTCTGTTAAGATTATTAAGAGTCTTACTAAAGATATAATTCATGGATAGATCACGACAATTTATTTGTAAAAAGAATTCAAAAAGAAATTATTGATATGCTTTAAGCATAGAATAAAAACGTCATCTAAGGCCATCAAAATATAAATATAAAGATTTTAATCAGGTAAAAAATAATCTTTTTTTCTCCAAATTTTTTCCCTTGGTTATATGAAAAATTTTTAAAACGATAAAATAGAAATTAATTGAACTTCATCTACTTACTAATTTTTCTCCATCTTTGGTATTTTTAGTTGGTGAACGTGTTGAATAACAACTTTCAAGAAAATAAACTCCTTGTGGCTTAGTTGAATTAACATTTTCATAATAAAAAAGTAAATTTTGATATAAAACAAACCATTTTGATTGCCATTTATTCGGTGATGACGATGGTTCTTGTCCGCCTCGTCTTGACAAATAACCACATTCACGGTTTTCTGATCGTGCTTTTATTGCTAAATTAAGTAAATGTTCTTCATTGACCTTAAATGATGAACGGTTCATTAACATATTTTGTAAGCTTTTCAATGGTAACCAAGAATCGGATGAAGCCATGTATAAAATTTCTCATAGACAATTATTACTGTGTTGAAAATTGAACGAACAATATTTAATTAATCAATATCCTTTAGGAAACCATGTTTTATCTATAACTGAAAAAACAGTGACTGATATTTATAAAGATATAGATTTCAATGATATATTTTTTTTATCTTTCAATCTTCCCATGTGGTACTATTTTTTTCTGGATATATATATGTTATCTCAACTATTAAATTATACCATTGTGTAACAAAGAAATAGGTAGGCGAAATATAATTTCACGTAAGTACATATTTAACATTAGTTAATAACATATGATTGATGTACTACTCAGAATACAAAAAAAAGGTAATCTTAGACTAAAAATTCTTTTTCCATATCTCACACATATTTTCTCAATAGAACCACTCGACTTCAGTAGGAAACAAGAGAAAAAGAGAGAATGTATGCTCACACTCACATTACGTTGATGAATTGACTGAAATGTCAGGAACAGCAAATAAAGGCATGAACATGAGCATTTGTTGCTTCAGGCAGGAGTTTAATTTGTGTATGTTGGAAATGAAGTGGAATCGGGAACACTATTTTCCAGGTTTCACTTTTTTTCTTCGAAAGAAAACTTTCGAGTTCTAGTCATTTTAACATTCTGTGACTTTACTGAGCATTTACAATCATAAGAAATAAATGAGCAAAATAAAAATCTTTATCTAATCGAACAAACTACAAAATTAGACATTATGCCTTTCTATTATAGCTAGTGGTTTTCATTGACACATAATCCGATAGTCGATAATTGACTTCTAAAAAAAGCAGAAATAGTATTTTATTTCTTAGTGAAATATAACAACGTGAAATAGTAGTAATAGTTATAGATAAAAATAATCATAAATATTACTGAGTTCAAATGAGGAAAGCGGCAATGAGAATCGCCAATTACAATAGTAGTCATGTTACTTCTGCTACAATGAAATACATAGATTAATTATTTCGATTGATGTCATGCAAAATTCTTGTTACGGACATTACTAACTATAAGTAAAAATAATGTTTTTCTGCTAATGAAAATCTACTAAATAAAATAAGAATAAGAACATCTTTATAAATTTAAAAAAATTCACATATGAAAAGCTGTCAAATATTTTGAGCATTTTCTGTATGTGCTGTTGATACAAATGCACTTTAAGAAAATAAGAAAAAAATTCTTTTCTTTGTCTCCGGAAATGTCAATCAAAAGATGAGGTGATATATTCGACATCAAGTAAAAAAAAAAGGAAATAGCATTTAACTATTAGTTTACCTGTTTCCATTTGAGAGAATAGAAAACTTATTTTGTAAAATACTCATCTATTTATAGTATTTAGTTAATGAAATGAACATGAAATTAATCGCATGACAAATTCGCGTACTCGTTTTAAGTATCGAATGATAATTGAGTATCATATCGTTAATTGGTTAGAGAGCTATCCGCTACTGTACTTCTAACAAAATGTTCAAATGTTTAAGTTATGGTCATTATTATTTCGCATGGCAAAGTTTAACTGATGTCACCATTAAGTTATTAATCGCTTCCTTTTTTAATAATGTTAATAGCTGCAAAAATTTTAACAATGTAACTTACTTTCAATCATGTTTCTTGAATGAATATTAATGTTGGCTCAATGAAAAAATTTATCTTAACCGAAATTGTGAACCATATCAATATATGTCCTCATCAACTAATAAAAGAATGTTAATAATAAAATTCATTACTGTCATTTATCATTCTTCTTCTTTTACTAGTCTTTCTGTGTTCTCTTTTTTTCCTTCTATCAAGCAAAAATAAAAATAAATGCATGCAGACATATTAAAACAGAAAAGAAAGAATGAATGTCATCTCTCGCGTACGACTATTAATGATAATTACATCTCCCTGAAACACAGAAGAAAAAAAGAAGAAGAACATTAACGTCAATAGAATGGTCACAATATTGATCAACAAAAAACTGATGTGCACGTCAATGAGAACTTGTTTTCGACATTTTCTCAGTCATATTCCTATCAAGATGAGAAAGTATTGAAAGAAAATTTACAATTAAATTCTCAACACTAGCTTGTATCGCATGAATGAATTATTGAAGGATTGATATTCCATTATCATGTTATGTTAAATTCAACTGATGTGCGCGTAGCAATGCATCAAATAAACGAATATCACATGTTTCACAATGAAAGCAATACGATGTTTAGTGACAACTATGCTGTTATCTAGCATGATTAATTTATATTCATTTATTCTATATCCTTCTGTAGATTATTCATTGCATGTTTTCAATAAAATATTTAGATTTGCTTCACATTTCATCGATGAATATTATCACTGTTGAAGTATGTAAATAGTTCTCATTTAAGAGAATATCTACATTTGTATAGTTATTATCCCCCCCAGTAAACAATGTTCCTAATCACAGTACAATTAGTTGGCATGTAGATAATTTAAATCGAGAGTATTATACATATGTATCAACTTCGTTAATTATCAATTTATTTTATTTTTTCTCTCTTCAACAATCATAGATACAGCCATCCCGGGGAGATAATTTTATTTACAAACACAGATTAAGTAAAAGAGAAATTTTTATTTATACATCTGACTGGAGTTCGTATAGCAAAAAAAACAAGAAAAGATATTCATCGAATGGTTTTTTTCTGTTTGAGAAGTTCTTAGATCTGGTTCGTTGATAAGTGTTTGTTTTCGTTTAAAAATGAACATCAGGTGTATTGTTGGGATTTGTATTTGCACCATTGGTAACTCCGGCCAGAACATCACGACTGATTTGTTTCATTAATTCCTGAGTTTTACGACGATTTCGACGAGCAGCATCAGCACGTAAGTACGGTGCTTTCTTCAAATCTATATAGAAATAGAAATAGAAATACAAAAGAGAGAAAGATTTAATTATATTCTGAAGAGGAAAGCGTAGCTGATTCAAATTATTTATTTCAAAGAACTGAACCTACACGATTTTCCTTTTAGTTGTTGATGTTTGCATTATGATACAATATATTGTCAAAGAAGAAAACCTATCCATCTATCTTAATAGAATGAGGAAGTATATTGTTTCTCAGTAGCATGGGTGAGTTAAGGAGGTGTACAGAATCTCATTAAATCTCATATTTTATCTTTTAGAAGAAAATAAAGTATTCAACAAGAATATCTTTAAGGAATTGTCTTCTTTCTCTGTCCCAGTACTTTTGTTTTTGTAACAATTCATCGGAAACTGTGGAAACTTCAAGGGTAGGTAAAGTTCCAGGATTAAAGACAAATCCATTTGATAGAATTACATGATTATCTTTTTTGTAAATTCTAAACATTAGTTTTAAATGATCCTTTGTTTTTATCTCTTTCAAATCGAATAAACAGATAGATATTTTCCCTACAAACGACGTTCGACAAACAAAAGCAGGAGTACTACGTATTTTTTAAAGCCAAAAAGAAAATAGATACCCTCGATAATTTCCATTATTATCACGGAAAAGGGTCGGCTCAATTCATTTTTGCCAAAAGAGAACACTCTCAAAGTTATCAAAACAACGTGAAAATAGCTTGTTTTTTCCGGTTTGATGGCTTTCATGGCTATATATACATAAACAAAATCTTTCGGTCGACAAAAGTGAAGGAGGAGGCCGATCCCCCTAAGAGAATACTCATTAAAAGATAGAGAGACAATAGCTATTTATTAATACAAGAATCACTGAATATTTTAGGTTTTAGATCGAGGTAGTAACAATTACTCTCTTTCGTACAGTAAATTTATGATAGGAAGTTTTTTGAATGATTTTAATTCAAATTTGTCGAGTTATTCATCCAGAAAATTGAAATGTTTATTATAAAAAGAACAGAAGAAACAACTTATCATACCATCTAACAAAGTTTCAATTGTACCGTCTGTTAACGCTTCACGCTTAATTAATTTATGATCTTTGATAGCTTCTTTACGTCCCTTTAATTCGTTCAACAATTCTTCCTAAAGTAAAAAGTAAAAAACAAACAAAGATAAAATGCAAACAAAACTGATATCTCATTAAAAGCCGAGTTAAACAAAAGAAAGAAGCAAAAATTAAAAAAAATATTAAATGTGGGCTTTATTTTGAAGAACAGCACAATAATATTATGTTACCTGTAGTGGTAAAAGATCAATATCCTGCCCGTTTATAGTTCAACATTATTTTTTTTTATAAAAATTTGAACAAAAAATAATAAATTTACCTGGGAACGTTTATTAATTGGACGCTTATTCATTGATTTATCAATAGATAAAGCAGCTTCACGAGCTAAACGTGTTCGTTCCTCATTATCAATACGGGCTTGCTAATGAAAAATAAATTGAAATAATAAAAAAAGATGAATAAAACTTTCTTTTTAACACTATCATACTTGATATGCTCGTTGAAATTTAACAAAAACAGAAAAAAAATTTGATGGGTTTTGTGTGCGTGGTGTTTCACCTTTAATGAAAAATGTAAATTAAGTTTTAGAAAAAAATAAAATACTAATCTCAAGATGAATCAGAAGTCATTTAGTTGTATAAAAGAAAAAGAGGCTAAATATATTCAATATAACTTCATCAAATGACTTCATTCATTCGTTCATTTACTGATGAATACAAGTAAATTCCTTCATTTGCCTACATGAGTACCATCATTTAGTTTTGCATCTACAGTGATAAAAACTATAAGGCAAGGCACTATATCAGGAAAAAGCCAATGCAGGATGTTGAGCTTATTGAAACTCTAGTAAACTACAATCTGATCTAAGTATACAAGAAAAATGAGTTGAGGATGTTGATGACACATGAAAGTTAAAAATTCATATCATGCAATCAATAGCTTGTGTTCTACAAAGTAAAACATATCTGAATAACAATGTAAAAGTGTATAACAACTAGGGAGGTGTATTTATTGTTGAAGTGTTGTCTCGGCATAGTAACGTATTTCTTATAGCGCCTGAGAGGAAATAACGCTTATAGTGACAATGCACAACAGTTCTTCCTGAATATCAATGAGCAGAACTAGTATTTTATAATCAAAAGAAGTAGCAGTTTATCTAATGAAGATATTCAATTGATTTATTTTAATGATAAAGTGATTTTGGGTCCATTTGACACTGACTTACCAAAATATTCTACACATTGATTAAATGAGTCTTGGGCTATTTTAGCATCTTTAATTAATCGATCGATTTTATCTTGTGCAATATTAATAAAATCTTCCAATTGATGTGTTTCAGAATTCTTAAAGAAAAATGATGAAATGAATTGATTCAGATCTTTTTATAAGTTTGTTAAAACCCTACTTTCATTGTTTGTCGAATAACAAGTTCCTTTTTTGCATTATCTAAACCACGTGTTAGGTCTTGAACATCAGTTTGAATATTTTCCAAGGATACTATAAAATATAAATCACTGAATAATAATTATTTGATAGAAAACAAGAAATTTGTAGATAACGACTGTTATTAACGGCATATGTAAAAATATCTGATATCGAATGGATAAAGAAAACCATCTGAAAGTACTTCAGTATAAGAGTCTTTCTCTTTGAATAATGCAGCTTTTTCAAAACAATCAAATCTTTTTCATGGTTCATAATTTCCTGAGTACGCATGCGTAAAGTTTACAAGGTGTTTCATTGTAATATTGGTATTTTATCCATTTGAAAGAACACACTAAAGTGAAGCATCGCACACAGCTCATCTTTTGAATTAAACTTTTATATTAATGCATTAAAAAAAATAGTTCTATAAATAGATAACAATACATTAAGAGCTTTTCAAGGTATTGAACTAATGATGCCTTATGTGCGCATAAAAGAAGAAATTTTAGAAAATAACAAGAACACTGTAGTCTGTTGTGTATTTTTCAAATGAAATGACGTTCCATAGAAAATCTGAGTTTGTCAACTGAGATGTTTTGAAGACTATTTTATTACGTATTTTTCGACAAATTCATAATATAGAGTTGGTTTCTTCAGGATAGTCTCAATAAATTTTGAAAAATTTCATACAATTTGAGGGCATTGGATCTGAGGTCGAGTTTTCAGGCGGTTGGAGCTAATTGATTGTTACTCGTCTTAAATTGGGAACATTCAAAGACATAGAGAAGTTTTTTTTATTCCTCTGTTAAAAAAACTTGTTAAAAATATGTTTGAATTTAGGAATAGGAATACAATTGGTTGAAAGAAATCACTTAACAAATTGAGTATGGAAAATATCTTTTAGACAATAAAATAAGAACACAGACTTAAGAAAGAAAAAAACATTTTTGCAATGCTTTCATTTGCATTAAAATAATTAAATTTATATAAAACAACTGTCGCAACATCAGTCTATTGGAATAGAGCTTTAAGAAGATTCTAAAAATAGAACTTCATGCGTCATTGCTAGATTACCACTGAAAGTCAATTGCATGACATTAAAAGAAAACCTTTTCTTTTTAGTTCTACCAATACAGTCGAAGTTGATCTAATCTTCGTTTCAATGCTTTCTAGTTCTGATCTCCATGTAGTCGAATCTATTGGCTTTTGTTTTCTTCTAGCATAACCTATGAATATGCTTCATTTTCTAATTTAAAAACTTGAAAATGGTTTAAACAAGTGAAAAGCTATTAAATGAAAATTAAATTTTCTAGTTCTTCTCACATAGAAATATCACAGAAATTTAACGACAAAAGCAAATTTTTAATCTCAATCAAAACTATTTGGAACCGCAATGCAAGACTTTCAATTTATCGTTCACATTGTAATTACGAGATATTCAAATTTGATGTATTGATCACGATTGAAAACCTGCTAGTTTCTCAACATGTTCCCATAAAAGAGTTAATTGTGAAAGTTCATGATGGTTTACAAGAAACTCGTTATTGAGTACTTCAGACTGATACTACAGATTACCGTCCGTGAAAAACACAATATTATTTAATATTTTTCAATTAAGATAATTATATTAGGCATGATTTTTTTCTATAACTTAGTCAAAGAGATTCAAAAAAAATTACATTTATGTGTCTTTGATATTGATATTGGAAAATATCATCAACTGAAAAGTTTACTTTTTGCAACTATACTGAAGACATTTGAATATTTTATTGATATATGTTTATATATAAAGAATGTTAATCAATAATGAATAGACTAGCTGTAAGTTTTATTTTTCAGTTATTGTAAAATCAATGGATTCGCTTTACTTTTGATAGAGTTTGTACTGAAAAAGATTTTTTAAGTATATCTTACATTGAGCAGATTTTTCAGTAGATTTAAGTTCCATATCGAATTTTGATACATCAGAAAAACGTTCTTCAACTGTTTGAACAATATAATGAAGTAATGTTAAACGTTTATCATGTGTTCGTGTATCTGATAACTGTGAAAGAGAAGAATTCAACAATGTTCAAAACAAACATACAGATTCAAGTGACTAACGATTTCTAAGCTTGCTAGTTTGAATCCGTAAGCTGGACCACGTTTACTACTGTTCATATAGTTACCAAAAGCAAGTACAATCTAAGACGAAAAAGTTAAATTCTATAGAAAAAGAAAATGTATCGAAAAGAATCTTTTTACCTCAAGAAGTTTTTTAAATCTTGAACTATTTTTTAATGTTGTTGATGCTGCTATTATTGCTTTCAATTGTGGTACCAAGTTTTGATTGATATCATTGAAATTAGCCATGAACGACACAACATTTAGTTTTTGTGCTAATCGCTCTATTTTAGAAAGCTTTAATAAGGAAAAGAGAATTTAGAAAAACAAAATATCTATCAAGATATTTTACTCCATATAGAAATCGATCTTCGTCAGATAAATTTATTATTGATTTTCCATCGGATAAATAAGAAGCAAATGCTTTTGTTTCTGATTCTGTTGGAATAAAATGTTGTAATATATCAATTGTATCAGTAGTCAAGATTTTTAAATCAAGGCTAAATCAAAAGAATATTTCAAGAAATTTATTTTCATATGATATACATGCATACTTATTCAGCGCACGTACAATGGTATTCACATCAAGATCAAGTTTTCGACGAGCAATGGCTAAATGAGAAGAACCATATCAATATTTGAAAATCAATAATTCATATGCACAATCGAACAAAATGACTCAGGATAAATGATGGAACTATACAACTTGAATGGGTTCAGTCATGTTCAATTCTTCGATTGGGGTTGGATTCATCGTCATATTCTCTTTGTATACGATTGATAGATTTAGTAGTGCAACACAATATTTGTACAATTTTCAACGTTTTCTATCATTGTCAGTACCTTATTCTAATTTAATATTGGATTATATTTTGACAATGATTTACAATCTGAATCATGTTTATCATGAAGATTCTCTTTTTCAAATTGTGAGTTGTTGATGAGCTGCAAGATACGAGATGGAAAACAAAAGAGCTAACTATATTTTTATTTACATCTCAAACAAAAACTCTTCCTGTCGCATTGTTAATGTTAAGATTTAGTAATCGTAATACGATGTTAAATCTATCCTAAACTCAATTATACAATCCAATGCTCGTAAATATGACAACAATTGTTCACCTAGTCCAGTTCGAGTCAGAAAATATTTTTTTCAGTTCTGAAGTTTACATTCCTTAGCTAATATTCTAAATACATAATCTCACCAAGAGTGTAAAACTCTCAGCCGAAATAAATCTAATCGAAATTCATGTGTTCATTTATGATGCTATTATGTGATTTCTAGAAATACCAATCTTTAAAAAATTCTTGTTAATTATCGATCACTATACCAAAGCAAACCATCGCAAGTTATTAGCTAATTCTTAGCATTGTAGATCAAAAAAAGGTGTATCATTAACTATTTCTTATCATATGTAATTTTCAAAAGTATTGTTTTCGTTTTACCTAAATTTCGTTGCCGTTGTGGATCAAGTAATGTTAAACTTTCTGGTATTTTAACAAATTTTTGTTTTAAATGTGGACTAACAGTTGCTTGATTAACTGGAAGACCGGATCCTGTCTTGAATAATTCTTCGAATGTATCGAAATCGATTAACTAGCAAAGATTAAAAACAAATATAAAGTTTCTAACATTAAGAGTTCTTTTACTTTGAAATATTTTTCATCATCAAGTTCAGAAAATACAGTTCCACGAACTTGACCTGGTTTTAACGATGTCCAGTTAAGATTCGGTAATTTATATTTTGTTTCAATTTTCTTTTTTATCGTCATTGATCCAGGTGGTGGATCCAGCATGCCTGGTGGTGGTGGTGGTAGAATACCGAACATTGGAGGAGGCTTGAAGAAAAATATATAGATAGTATTCGTAAATGAGAATAAAATTATGCATACTGGTCCAGGTGGTGGTGGTGGTGGAATGAAGTCTATGTATGAAAAAAATAATAGAACAAAAATGAAAAACTATATATACTGTTTTACTTGGAGGTGGGGGCGGTGGAGGTGGAGGAGGTGCTCCATTAGATATTGCTGGCATGTTGCTGTTCGAATAATTTGATCCACTTGTCGGTGCGCCAGGTGGAGCTGATGATATCGATGATGATGAACCATTTAGAGATCCTTTGAAATATAAAAGAGAACAAATCTCGTTTTAGTTAGCTTGAATTATTGTTCAGATATAGAAATTGCAAAGCACTTGGTATCTATGCGTTTCAACAGCATGACACTTTCAAGCGAAGAATAAAATTCCATACGAGATCAGATATTACGGAAACTTTTCAATTCAATTCTATACTAGCATCTTCACCTGAGTGGATTTTCATTTTTGGTTATCAGACTCTACCTCTTAAAACGAGTGAAAGAAAATGTTAATAGTTGTAAGAAACTTGAAAAAAGTATGAAAGACAAATCACTATGCAGCAAATCGGTAGCAGAAAAACAGCGTATATGGTCTAATATATAAATCGTACTCTATATATGATGATTGTTGAACTCTGATAGATGCAAGCTGATTTTTATCATGGCGTCTATTCAAGAACTAAAGCGTTTTATCTATTAAAGTGATTGGTATCAAATATCAATATCACAGCCTTACTATTAGTTATAGGTGTATAGATGTAGATCAATCGCCGAGCATACAACATAATTTAAGATAAGTAACTTTAGTTTGAATCCTTATTTGATACTATATATGATGGATAAAAAATACGTCTTGTTAGAAGTTCTTGCTAGATAACTAACATTCAGTGAACTGTATCCTATACTAGTATTCAAATTTAAGAATCGACCGTAAAATGTCCGACTTACGTGGAAAATACACGCATCATCTTTCAGCTTAAATATCTCTAGCTAATACAGAAGAGTCGTAGATTTTAAGAGCCAGAAAGAAAAAGTTGAAAGTCTTAGCTGTTCTCTGCAAACTAACCATAGTTTAACTGAGTAATTACCGGAGACCAGTTTATTTTCTAATGAGCTGTTAAACGGAAACTAACTAAAATTTTTGCTAACAATCAGATCTATTTATCTGATGTAAATATCCGATATGATTTTAAATAAAAAGTTTTTGTCGGATTTCCCGAACTACATTTAGTTCTATAATATAAATTCATCAAAACTAAATTGATGGTTTTGAAGAGATTATGAAACAGAATTCTTTTGAGTTCTAAAAGATTGTGCATACCTCGGTCTTGTTGACTTTGTCGCAATGAATTTAACGTATGTGAAATATCATCGCGCTCTTTCTATTAAAAGAAATAAAATGAATAGATAGCCTTGGTTACAAGAGCGTATGTAAAATTACTTTTGCATTCTCCATTTGTTCCTCAGCAAATGATAATGCTTTTTGTAATTCAGCTGCAAAAAAGAATGAATAGAAAACATTTTGGGGAAAAAGAAAAATACACAGTAGCACTGATTACCAATTTTACTTGAATTTCCATGTTCAAGCTCGTGCATACGTTCATGTGCCTAATAATATAGGTGAATTTTTTCATAAAAAAAGTGTTCAATTTTAATCGTACAATTCCTAATTGCTCTTCTAACTCAGATACTTTAGCTATAGCTTGTTGCTTTGTTTCAGAGTCTTCCAATAATTGTCCAACATCGAAATAATTATCAAGAAAAGCATGAATTTGTAATATAAATAGATCACATTCACTATGAAGTTCCAAATATTTCTAGATAAAAAACGTTTTTTGGTTATTGAAAAAACAAAATAATCTATTTAAAAAATATTCTACTTTAAGACATTCATCAAGACCAAGTAGTTTAAATTCTTCTTGTAAGTAAACTCGATAATTCATTTCTTGCACTGAATGTACAACAATATTTATAAATTGCATACAAGCAACCTATAATTTGAAAAAAAAAGGACAAGAATCTAAATGAAAAACAAATGCTACTTTTATTTTACCATATAATCAACATTAAACTCTGATGATTGTGTAAATGATTTCATTAAAATTTCAAAACGATGTTTTTCTTGGCATTCCTACAAAAAGAAACTCGATAATTTTCCTTTGCTTTATGGAAATAAAAGATTATTTACAATTCTAAAATTATCAAATGCTGCGAGAACAACATCATGACCTAGTTCGACTAAACAAACAGCAGCCAGTAGTTCTAAAATTAATGCTTTACATCTGAAAATAAAAATAAAATACTTTTTCACCTTCAAAAAACTTAGAAATAGAATCTTTACCGATAATTTTTATGTTGCAAACTGAGTGTTATACAATTTAGAGCAGATGGATGTTGAATAACAAGATTAAAACCATTCTAGAATGAAAATAAACACATTTCATGATACGTTGAAAGTGATGTGCAGAAAAAGCGAATGTATCTGGTTTAGTAGATCAAAAGCTAGATAGTACAGTCTCACTGGAAATCACATGTACTCTTCTACTTGATTACACTGTTAGAAAATGTATAAACTCAAAGATTTCTATCAGTAGACTTTTGTTTTTTCTGTTTAACTGAACCATATTGTTTTTCTGTTCAAGTCTTTTTCAGTCAATTGTACGAATTAAAACTATGTATTGATGTGAAAATTCTCTAAATCATCAAATATTATAACTCAAAGATTCACATAATGGTTTCTTTTTTAAATCTGAGAGAAGAACTTTTATCGAATCGATTACTTTTCTTGTGATGCAACAAAATTAGCTATTACATTACTTACAAGTTATTGCATCTATGTATATGTGACATAATTCACAAGGGAATTCAATGTTAATATTATTGGAACTTATTTCAGTGTAATAATGAATAGATTTCTTTGGTTTCTTTTAAAAAAATAATATCCTTTTCCTATCTCTAAGGTGAAGCCTTTGAAAAAACAAGTAACATTACTTGATTATTCATAATAGCTCGCAGACACATAATACATAATCGAACATCATCAGTAGCTTCTCCGATTTGATATTTTTTTAATTTTCGATGTAAGCGTTTTGCATCTAATCGCCCTAATGTCGTTCGTTTAAATGTCGTAATTGAATTTTCATCTGAATAATGATTATTGCCATTCACTGTTGATGTAATATTGAATTCATTTGATATTTCAACTTCTCTACAAATATTTTAAAAAATTCAGTTTATAATTGTAATCAAATAAATGCTAAGATTTAATGTCAGTTAGTTTATCTCTAATACATTCCTATACTCTCACCTTAATACATTACTAGATGAAAAAGAAGCTATGGTGAATTATCATCATTATCGGGCTCGAATCTAATCTCTTAAATTTTTCGCTTTTTTTTAAATGATATAAAAGCAAACAAAAAGAAAAGCATGTTTCAGTTTACTTACCGCATTAATTCTAATGATGTTTTTAAATAGTCAAGTAAAACATCAAGACCTTTATTTGTTAGATTAAGAAAATCATGCACCCATCTGAACAAAAAAAAGTAGTTATGCTGTTATCGAGAAATAAACAATGAGTAATATGATTACCCAATATTGTTTGTACGTAAAGAAATTTCTAAACTAGAAAGCAACTGAGTTGAAAGTTCGATAGGTTGCTTCTTTTTCTATAGAAAATTGGTAAAAAACGAAATTCACATTAAAAATTAAATAAACTATATTAAATACTAAAGTTGACGCTTTTTCAACAAGATTAGCTCCACGAATATATGTTTGTAAACCATCAATATAATATTCAGGAGGATGTTTAGCAATAACTTGATCCTGAAAAAAACAGATGCATGAAACTATAATCATTATTTATTTATCATACTCGATCTCGTATAATATCCCATTTCTTTTCGGCTGGAAAATCACGTAACATTTTCATTTTATCTGGTGGTAAATCCATTGTTGCCTACATGAATTGTTTTGCATGATACTATATTTAAAAAAAACAAGTACTGTATATCTTACAATGGTTTTTTGGAATAGATCTTCCAATGTTCGATCATCTGGTCGAAGTTGATTCATTTTATCAAGACTTGCAATACTCTAATAAAAATAATAATGTGTTATTAAAAAGTTGTTTTTTCTTTGTTAAGGCATTTTTCGGTACTTTTTCAAGTGTTTCAGATGAGTTTAAGCTTGATGTTGATCGTATAAAACCAGTCATTTGCCATTGGGACAATAATAATGTCCCGTTTTCATCTATAACTGTCGCCGTCGTGTCGTTATTGTTCTTGCATATAGTAGAATATTAAATAAATCTAAAAGGTTAATGTATACAAGGTTACATTTTGAAAACTATTTCATGGCCTAAACAAGCATTTTTTTTCTTATTTTTCTACAATTGAAAAGAAGAATTTGCTGAAAATGAGAAAGAAATTGTTACGTAGAAGTGTTATCGCTATAATTAGATTATGATTTGATGAATACACGAAATCAACGCATGTTCTATGATAATAATAAGAAACGAACAAAACTATTACGATTGACTAAAATAATGAATCGTAATAAGCAACCTATACGTAGAATAATCACATAGACGCAATCGTTGTAAAGTCTATCTCAATGATAGATCAAATCGGTTTTATTTACTCACATTACAAAATTTACTTTACATAAAATAAAATTCTTTGTCTAAATGTTCTTCTATTCTAAGTGATAGTGTCAAAATAATGATGGAAATGACCAGTCAATCCTATCTCTTTATTGACTACTATTTCAATGATTCACTATTACTAATATTCTTCAAATTTGATAGAAAACAAGATAGTCTTGAAAAATGTTACTCATATCAATACAATCTAATAAAATATAACTTTATATTAATAATGAATGGTCGATTATGCCTTCTTTGGTGAATATAGCAGGTTTTTTTCTCGAGCACAGGAAGTGCGTTGTTACTCTTTCCTTCATTCACCTTTTTCACATTGACGATTGAAATATGATCATGATCTTACTTTTCTTTGGGTTCATGGACTTGCTTAATTTTTACAATATTATTTTCTTCCTCCTCTTGCTTTCTCTCTATCTTCGTCATATCCGAGGAAGAAAAAAAAATCTATGTTTTAAGGGCAAAAAGCACAACCTGTATTCATCATCATATAATAACTTTTCAATTATTATTTTTCCATTACCTCAACAAAAGCTGATGATGGTATCAACAAATCATATTTGATGTATACATATATATATATATGTTCAATGAGAGAGTGAAGTATATTGTTGACATAAACTGGTGGTTTCAGTTGCACTAAGTCGATTTGATCAATTTGTGTAGCATGTGAGAATAGCATAGCTCAACAAATCTGATATACAAATGTCATTATTAAACGTGGTATTCCTATCATTCTATACGCGTAATACAATGGGTCCGATATATAAGATAACGATGTAAAGCAAAATTAGATAAAGAAAATGAGCAAAATGTATCATCGTTCAAACATCATTTGACGCACAAAACAATCGAAGATGGTTACACGAGAATCGGATACGTAATACTCATATTGATTCATTGTATCAATAAAAAGAAAACATAAAGGAAGAAATACAAATACTGCATTCAGAGAAGAAATCTTTGTTTTTTTTTATTAGTGTAGATATAAATATAAAATATGTATAATAATCATTTAGAACTTTGTTTCTACTTACTCGATAAAACTATTTTAACGTCTTCGAAAACTTACAAAATTGCTTAGCATACACATCAGATCTATCACCAAAATAAATAAAACAAGAGAAAAGAAGAAAAAAGAAGAAGAAAGGGAACATGACGATGATGACGAAGATGAATGAACGATGATGATAATACTGACCGATTCTTTCATTGGATTATACAAACAGCAATAAGACAAAAAAAAAAGAAAAGAATGTGCATCGTGAAAGCTATGAACTATTTGATAATGACATCTGTTGAGTATTATTCATTTCGACACTAAATGTTTTTTTTTCTGTTCATCATTTATTGGAATTTTAAGTGCGAAGCTAATTTAGCTATTACTTTAAATTAATTTACGTTTTCCAGTTTCATTGATTAAGAAAACGTGAATATATTTATTGGATCATAATAGAAATGAAAAATGCTTACAGCTATTTCGATAAAGCAGGTCTCCTATACTTTTCTCTCCTATAAACCTTTCTATATAGATATTTTCAAAGTCGTGGAAACATGTTACACAATTGTGTTATCTGTGCCTTTAGAGAGAAAAAACTATGATTTTTAATCATCAATGTTTCATGAAAATAAATTTCTCGTTTGACAAACGACATTTCCTGAATTCTAGTTACTACGATCACATACACTTCTTGTTTGAAGAAGTAAAAGAATTAATAATCTTCAGTAACATATGCCAATAGCAGCAACAAACTTCGAATAGCAATTACATACAATTGGCCACTTGACGATGGTGACGCTTGAGATTGTTCTCAATGCTGTTGTCAAACATTGAAACACATGCATCAAACATTTGTTTGTTAACTTTAAAAAGTTGAAAAATGAAACAGATGTTTGCCAAGATCTCATCTAAGTATAATCCAGTCCTAAGTGAACCATATCCTGAAACAACAGAAAATATTGATGCATTATTTCAGGCAGTTAAAAATCAAAATTATTCTATAATATCTAATTTACTTCGTGATAAAAAAGTGAATTCATCAACTGTCAACTATACAGATGTTAGTCGACCATCATTACTTATTGAATGTTGTAAACGTTCAGATAAAAAACTATTACAAATAATGATCAAAATTGAAAAAGAACAATTAAAAAGTTCATATGAAGATGTTCATGGACATCGAGCTGTATGGTATGCTATTGAAAATAATTTTCTTATTGGTATTCAAGATTTACTTGAACATAAACTAATTGATCCGAATTTACATGATACAAAAACAAGTTTTACACCTATCTTACAAGGTATTGAAAGAAAACGCACTGAGGTAAAAAGAAAAGAAAGCTTTCATGGAAACAAACATATATGAAATCAATATGATTAGATTGTAGAAGCATTCATTCGTGCTGGTGCTGATCCTAATTTACCACCACGTAATCCAGCTCATCGTGGTTTGACACCACTTATTCTATCTATTGTAAATGGTAACGATGAAATCAGTCAATTTCTCATTAATTCACTATGTAGTCTTAATCAATATGTTGAAGATGGTAAGAATGATCGTATATGTTTGAAAAAATAATTTATTCTATAAATTAAAATAATACAATCCTTATGAAGGTTCCCTATTATGTAAAATTATTTTGTAAAAAGATATTCTGATTCTGTGTAATTGAAAAAAAACATTATTTTTATCAGTTTAAGTTACTGTAGGTAAATTAGTATTTTCAGAGATATATTCTAGTGCAAACTAGTACAATATGCGGATAATATTTGTCAGTTGCATCTAACTAGTATCTATCTGATTAGATTAGCCCGAGGTGCATACAAACGGTTTTTTGACTAACTAAGTTATATCCGAAACCAAAGCCATTCATTATTATACTATGTATTCATCAAATCTAATCGAATCATGTTCTTTTAGGCATGCATGAAGAGCACTTGGTACAGTACATTGATAACATCAATCTGTTAGACGTAAAGTTTTTCTTATATATAGTAATTTCGAGTATAGCTATGTGAATAATGAATAAATGGCGCATGATCGCAAATAGTTTGAAAATAGAAAAAGATAAAGCTACGAAAAAAGGCTAGATGTGTAAAGTTCAAACTAATTGCTTTTTTAGTTGTTCTTCTTTTTTTAATCAAACCTTAACATGTCTATGTTAAACAAGTAACAATTTCATGTGTTATATTTACTTAATGGATTGATGTCCATTTGAATCCCACATGTATAACAAACGATAGTCTTAAACACGATTGTGCTAGAAACGAACGAATTTAATAGTTTTGATAACATTTAAGTATTTTGTAATTTCATCAAAATCGATTTAAACATTTATCCTAATCCTTTTTTTCGTTTTTATTCACTAATTATTTCAGGTTATACTGCTTTACATTACAGTGTTTTAATGAGTCGTCATCCGACAATAATATCCTTGCTGAAAGCAGGTGCACGAACAAATGTTCGTAGTATATATGGTGTAACACCAATGACTTTAGCAATTCTATGTGATGATCCATATTCAGTTAAAATTCTTATTGAACATGGTTATCCAATAACACGTACCTATACATGGAATGAATATCCATTTGAACAGGCAATTAAAATTCATGCCGAGGGTTCAGCTATGATGATAGCTTATCTAGGTATTGAATTAAAAATTAAACAAGGTAATCGATCATCAAATCCATTAACGATGGCAGCCAGTGAAGGTTTAATTAATTTAATGTTTCTTTTAATAAATATGCAACCTCAATCGATCAACCAACATTGGATACGGAAACGACAATATCCACATGCATTATATCGTTTAAAACATGTACAAACTGATTTACAATGTATGTTTTCAAACCCATTTCGTCTTAAACAATTATGTCGTGCAAAAATATCTCAAACTATCGGAAAGTTTTATACAGAAAAAATAATTGAATTAAAGAAAACTTACCCTTCATTATCAGATCGACATCTTGAATACTTACGTTATCAAGATGTTATGGATCCTGTGAAACATTTTCGTCCTGTTGGTAAACGTCTTGCTCATTTTGAAGTTAATGGACTTGAATTCTATTGGGATCAACGAACATTGAGATATCGAAAACTTTATGATGATCCTAATCGTGATATCAAGAAAGATAAAAATCGTGATGAACAACCAAAAAGTGCTATTGTTCGTTTAACATCAGTATTACTTAAACGACGACAACATCAACAAGCACGAAAACAAATTAATGAAACTAAAAGTTTAACTATGTCGAGTTATTCAAGTAATACCATAACAAGACATGCCAGTGTTCAGCTTAAATCAGCTCACAATGCTGGAAGAGGAATCTTATCAAAACGACATAAATAAACAAATTCATATAAATGATATTTTTTTTAGAAAGAAAGAAAATTTTTTAAATAAATAATTTAATCAGCTACATACTAACAAAAAAATTTGATTTATGTAAAAGCTAAAGCTAGAAGACAATATAGAATCTTATCAGATCTTTGATATTTTAGACATTTTCTAATCATACTTCTCTGTAAGTGTGTCCTATTTTCAATGCATTACCGACAGATGACAGCATTTTAAGATCCATAGTATCATGTTATGTAATATGTCGAGTACTTGAATTGATATAATATGTTTATAATTATTCAGCTGTGTAACAGACAAGATCTTGTACGTAGATGAATTAAAAATATCAAATACATTTCAATTTTTCAGATAAAACAAATCAGTCTAGATAAGAATACTCAATGTTACTCATTTATGATATCATGGTTTATATTCTACTATTACATAATACTGTAAAACTTTTGTAAGCGTGTGAAATTGCAGTAACTGTTAAATGAAGTAATAATTGCAATGAGGTAATTTCGTTTGCAGTAAAAATTTTTATTTTGATGCAATACTTTTTTATTCTTTCGTTATTGGCAGTTCATTCGAATATGCTTTTTAATACATTGATATTTGTAAATAAAAAACTGCTACCCAAATATCTTAATTGGTCTACTTAATAATAGACGCAGATTGACTAACAAATATAGGAAGAGTTAGATAAATAATTGTTCGTATTCGCATACAAAACAATTCAAAAAAGTATAATGATAGCATCCAGATTTACTTATCTATGTAGGTTTACTTTAGTCTGACATAGATAGATAATAAATGTGATTTATTAAATTTAAAATTAATGAAATACTATTGGAGTGTTATCATATAGAAATATTGTTCGATCATTAATAAAATAGAATCGCTATGATCCTTAATTACTATAAGCTTTAATAATCAAATAAATCTTACATAATAATTGTGTTCTATCATCTTTACACGACATCGATTTATTTGTTTGATCATATGCTGAAACAACTAAAATATTTTTCTTGTATCTTCTAGGAAAAATTCTAAATTGATATTTCATTGATTTATATATAAATCAATTTTTCCACACTTATTTTTAACGTTTTTTTTCATTATTGTCAGCTTAATTCGAACAATGGAATAGCTCAAATCAAGAGAAAATACATGAAAAATAAATTGAATATATAATTTAACAAGTCACAGCTGAAGACTGAAAGTGAAGAATGTCAATACCCATTCAGTAATCAATTCAAGAGGTCGGAAGAACTTAAAAGAGAGAATATTTTTTCAATTATTTAGGACTATAGTTTGAAGTTGAACAGAAAACAGAATCATCATCCTGAATAGATTTAAAAAGAAGCATCATAATTAAAATGTATTTTCTAACAAAGAAGTTCATTTTCACGGACTGTACGAAAGTTATTCGACAACATTTTTCTTTGTTTTTATTGTCGACGAGTAAGAACGTTAAAAGCGGAAGATCGTAATCAAAGTTTATGCTTTTTTCTGAATAAAATAATATTCTAATGGTTAAATTTCTGCGGTGATTCTATCAAGAATACTATTGACACCCTCGAAATTCTTTAATGGTTCAATTAACAAAAATGAATTTGATTATTTCGAAATAATTAATTATTATAAAGGTAGGAGGCGCGCAAAGATTCATAAATAGAAGCAAAAAGTCTGCTTGCCAATAATCTCTTCTGCCGAATTCTATAATCAGTGAAGAAATAAAAAAACAAAAGATGCATCGTCGATAATCTTATTTTATTATCAGTCAGTAACAAACTAATCTTGTTAAAAGAATAATTACTAATGTTACAGATCATAATGAAATCAGTAACACTTAAAACTGTACCATGAAGAACAACTCAAGCAAGACATGAGTTATTAACATACAATACAGTATATTAATACTATAAATAAGAATTTTTAGTTTTTCCATTGAACAATAACCAAATTTTTATTTAATTCATTGTTTTATATTGCCAATAGTTAGTATCTTTGTTATTACTCATCGATTACTTTTGTTTTTGTTTTACGCAAAGACTATTTCTGAACATAGATAATTATTCTTACAAAAACAAAAATACTTTTTATTTTTTTAATATATAGAATATTTAGCGTAGCATAGGAAACAAAATTCAATTTTTATACATAAAATAAAGTTTAGCAAAAACAAAGTAACTATTAATTAGAAAGTCATTTAATTATCGGCATACCATCCATAACTGGCGGTTGTTAAATAACTTTTCATAGTCGAATACCGTGGAATAAGTGCAATACCATGATACCATTTCTCTATCCATTTAACTATTTGTGTTTCATAATAAAAATATCGTACAACACGTCCACTATATGATGTTTTCCATTCAGTCTGTTGTGTTAAAGGATTATAAGGTATGATGGAAAAAGGAAGAAAGGAAAAATATCGAAAGGGAAAAATGTCGAAAATAAAAATATCGAAAACAAAATTAATACAAATGTAGATGGATAGAAATGCCGAAAACGAGAGTATTTTGAAGTACAAGTCTCCCTCAACCTCAATTCAATCTTGCATGCTCATTTTCACCTCATATTCTTGTTTTCGACATTTTTATTTTCGATATTTTTCCATCCATTCGATTATAAAAACCACCGATACCTGAATGACATGATGTTTGCCATTCAATTGTACCTACCGATGGATTATAAATTCCATGAACATCACCTTTATAGAATTTCTTCCATTCGAATATATTTAGTTTAGGATTGAAAACTCCATAAACATCAATTTGACATGCATGTTCTCATTCAATTAATCGAGTGACTGGATTAAATACGCCATGAATTCCACCATGTCGATATTGTTTCCACTCTGTACGACCTGTGATGGGATTGTATACTACTGCTATAGAGCCATTTCAATGTGTCCGTATTTCAGTAGAATTTGTTTCAAGTGTTTTTTCATCGAGTAATTGATTAACTTTTAGTGAAAGAAATTTTCGTTGTAGATAACCATGTTTAAATGATTCAACAGAAGATCTTTTATAGTAGGCAGCTGAATGTGTAAATATACGTTTGAATAGATTGAATCGATAATGAAATATTTCTTTCATATTTTCATATTTTCATATTTACGTTGATCTCCTGCTAAAGAACTAGTGACATAACGTTTTTAATTTTTTAATGTTTCAAGAAGTATCTCTTGAAGTTCTCGTCGAATCATTTGATGTCGAGTGTATAATTTTTCGTGTACACGATTTACTGTCCGCGGATTTACTGTCCACGGATTTACTGTCCATTGATTGGAAAAATTTTATTCCAATTAACGCTATTTTTATACGAGGATTTACTGTCCATTAATTGCTTCGAAGAAGAGAAATTAATAAATGAGTAATGGTCTTGACAGCCAATCCCTTTTCTGAGGAAAAAATTACATAAATGTTGAAAAACAAAAAAGTCGCCAATGAGCGAACTATTGAATACATTTTTAATTTAAAATGACTGATGCTCATCAAATTGAGGGGTAAGATATCCCAGGAGATTCCCAGGTCGTGGACGTACGGCGGGAAACGGCCGGAAAGCACAGGAAAGCGCTGGAAAGTGGAAGCAGTATTCCAGTTTCCAGTGCTTTCCCGTGCTTTCCGGCCAGATACGGTGATTTTTCCGCATCTTTNCATACGTGAGCTTCACATTTTAGCCCCAAAGGGACTGCGCTGAATAGCTTTTCTGTTCATTTCTATTCTTCGAGGCAGTCAACGGACAGTAAATCCTCAAACGAGAAAAACGCTAATTGAAAAAAAAAGTTATTCAATCAATGGACAGTAAATCCTCAGCAGCAAAAAATAATTGTACTTTCTGTAGAAAAAAAAACTGTTTTCTAAGAAAAACAATCAATGGGCAGTAAATCCGTGGACAGTAAATCCTGTAAACCGGCTAAAGATAAGTAAAGAATGTTTACTGTTGAAAACATTTTAAATAAATTTTTAGGCTTGCAGAACATAAGGTAGTAAAGATATGACTACCTGGAGAGAATTAGAGAAAAGCTAGAAAAACTACGCCATATGTTTGTTGAATGCATAATATATTGTTTCTCTCTCTCTCTCTTGATAATGAAGATTCTTATAGATTAATTACTTACCGAAGTCAAAAATGAGGAAAACTATTTTTGATATGAATGTCTCGACTAGGTAAAAAAAATTTCATGGTCGACAAGTCGGACACAATGTCTAAAATGATTGTTCGAAATCATTTTTATTTGATTCCATTAAATTGTGAAAAATGATACTTAAAAAATGTTGATTTTTATCATAATTAGTCATAATTCGAACATTTGATTTCGCGTTCAAATTAATAGTCTCACGAATGTAAAAGAGCAATGTCTTGTTTTCAACAGTGAGAAAACAACAATCGATCCCATTGAAATAGGACGGAGATACTCACATTTGTCTTCCGGACCGGAAACTAAATATTCAGACCACTCTGTATAAGTATGCGTGTACAAAAAAAACAAAAAAATAAATATGCAGATGCTATGGGACGAAAAGTCGTTTAATGATAAATGATTTTTTACAATAAAAACTAGGGTTTCAATTAGTGAAACCGTTTAATTGATTTGAATAGTTGGAAAAAAAGGAACAACCATACCTATATTGAGACTAATGTTCTCATTAGATTTCTTAAAAAGAGCAATGCAAACAATGAAATAATTATATTTTCAAATACTGATCAAATTCTATCATCAACGACAACATATTCCTTCTAAATAACAGTAGATGTCTCATGTTTCCTTTCAAAAAACAGTAGTATCAAACTTGAAATTTGAATTCAGTTGAAAATAGATAATTTTAACTTTCAATTGAATTCAAGTTTCAAGTTGGACATATATGTCAAAAAAAGAGAGAAAATAAATAAATAAATAAATAATCTCTTTTATTAACCTCATTTGCTCTATAGATGACCAATCATTTGCAAATCGGCAGGTATGCATTTGTGCTAACTTACGTTATTGTACATCAAATTACATTAATCACAGCGAAATAAATAATTAGCAGTCAATGGCCGAATGGGGGAAAGGTGATCCTCGTTGGATTGTTGAAGATCGTCCAGATGGTAAGTAAGAAAATGTTATTTTCAACTAATTAACATATAATTTCTAGCTACCAATCCAAATAATTGGCATTGGAAAGAGAAAAATGCTACGCAATGGTCAAAGGATAAATTTAAAGAATTATTAATTGGACTTAAAATTGAAAATGAAGAATATACATGTGAAATAAAAGAATTAAAAAAATGTTCAGGTGAATCATCAGTTAATAATCGAAAAGCTAAACTTTTCTTTTTAGTAAGTAAACGATATTTGTATGATTGTACGTTTAATTCTTCGGTTTTTCTTTAGTACGAATGGTATATCCAAGGTAAATGGGAAGGATCAAGTCGTACAGGAGAAAATCCAACGAAATATGAAGGTTCATTTGATATACCAAATTTATCCGATGAAAATGAAATTCATGAAGTGAATATAACATTCTCTGTTGATAAATCAAAAGGCGAAAAATTAATAGATCTAATGAAAAGTCATGGTGAATCAATAATAAGACAGAAACTTGCAGAATACATACGTTTACTTAAAGAACAATTCTCTCAAGGACTTATATTGCCAACTATAGATAATACAAATACAACTGATACAAAATCTGTATCATCTATAAATAATTCTAAAACCGTAATCAATCCACAAATACTAATAACTGAAAACAAATCGCCAACTGTGACGTTTAGAGATTTGAAAATTCATGACAAATTTAATTGTACAAAAATAGAATTATTTACAACCTTTTGTGATATAAATAAAGTGAAAGCATTTACGCAAAATAGTGTGTCACAATATGATTGTAGGAAAGGAGGATTTTTTTCATTATTTAGTGATAATATAACAGGACGCTTTCTTGATATTGTACCCTATGATCGTATTGATATATTGTGGCGTTTTAAATCGTGGCCCAGCGATCACTATTCACATGTTTCATTATCATTTCATGATGATACCGATCAAACAAAAATTTTTATTCAGCAAACAGGTGTACCAAGTCAATTCTATGACAATACTATGGTTCGTTAAAGAGCTTTGTTTATTTAAATATTTCAAAATACGTTTCTTTTTCTGAAATTTGTGTTTGTTTTTTTAGCAAGGTTGGAAACATTTTTATTTCGAAAGTATTAAATCAACATTTGGTTACGGATCACGACTACTTTAGCTTGATTTTTTTATTTATATTATTAGCGTTTTTTTTTTTATAAATAAATTCTTTCGTATGCAAGTTAATAATAAAAACTATTCAAAAATACTTGTTTGTACCGATTTTTGGTCTCATAAAAAACAAGCATGTCTTTAAAACTTAAATAAAGCAATCATAATATATTTGCACATCCACAATCGCTCAATCTTCATCTGACTTCTATCTGTATTCGATCATGTTCAAGTACACTACGGCAATCACACATCCTACTGAAATATTCATGTGCCAATAAAATCTAAAAATTTCAGAAGTTCGACAGATAAATGATAGAAAAATATGATAAAAGTACCAATTTTACGATTTACATCTGATACATTGAATGATACTGAATGAGCAAGTATGCTGTGACATTTTCGACACTTTTATCTAAGTTAATTTTCACAATTTCATTGAACAGCGTGATAAATAATAATGATAACAAATTTTTTGTAAAGTATATTCTTCAGTAAAACGATAGTTTCATATGTAATATTGTCGGTTTTATACGGAACGAAAAGTCTGCATGTGCAGAGATACGATCGAATTTTGTAACAATTATTTCACATAGACTTCTTGAATTATTTTATCGAAAGACCTATAATAATGCATTCGATATGTAAATTGTCGTAATGTTTTTGGATGACTCATATCTGCAAAAATTATAAGAACAACAGAAATTCTGAATCAATGAGCAATTAAAAGCGTTTTGATAAATGCTTATTAATATCTCTGTTGAACACTCAAAACTCGAGAACCAGTCGACAACCACAGCTCTACTCGACTGTTTTTTTTATCACAAAAGAAAAAACATCTGCTAGCTCACTTTAATACAGACTTGTTTAATAGGAGGTATGCGTTATCATTTTTTGTCTTACTAAACGACAGATAGTCATTACGAACAACAATATTGTAATTGAGATTGATATGTATTCAAATCTACGATATGGAACAAACATACTTCGTGCAAACCCAATGTTGTTACTAACCAAGCAATAAAAGTTGAGCAATTGCAACGTTACACATCAATCTCTATTTTTGTCCACTCAACCCATTAAAACTTTAGAGACATCTCCAATTTACACTCTGTAACACTTGCAATGAAAACATTGTAACGATAGAGAAGTGTTTGCTAAACGAAACAGTCAAAATACTGCTAAACTGAATTTAATTATTCCTCAGGGAATTAGATTTTTTTATTTATATTGAACTTATCTTACCTACATATGTCTGATGCAAATATAGTATAAGAAGACAAATATAAACAATTCGAGGGTTACTCAGTCTCTTTTGTGCTTACAAATCAATTACGATGGTACTATCTTCAGTGTATCTTAATCCGGTTTTTCATCAAAATAATGATTAAAATCAATTGTCTTTCAAAAGATGAATCCTTTTATGTAAGATTATTCGATCTTGAATCGAAAGTAATAAGTAAAAATCAAAACTTTCCCTTTTTTTTTCATGATAATGATGAACTTGAGTTCGAATTCAAATATTATCTTTAAATAGAAAAATGGCATATTATTTTTTCATGACAACTTTTCGAACATCAAATTTCTATAATCAGAATAATTCATAGTGAAATTCAAATACAAAAGATAGATGTAGTTATAGGTTTTGGTATCAAACAGCAGTAGCGTGAAAATAAAAATACAATCGCATAGCTGTCGATTTTCCGATAGATGATCGTGCTTAACTATAAATATTTCACTCAAAAGTTTCTTTTCGACCTGTAATTATTGTTAAATTTATTCCTATTAATAATTATATTTTTATTAAGCGTTGCAACGAAGTGAGAGTACTCAATATAAATAGAACTATAAACGTTTGCTTTAATTTTTATTTATTTATTCTAAAACCGTATAGCATTCATGTTAAAACGCATCGAATCGTTTGATTCATCGATTGCTTGCGATTAAACATATTCATATATCGAATAGTTTTGTTAAACCCATTAAAATACGTTGGCGGCACAAATAAGACATTTTCATGCGTTTGCTTCATGCTGTGAGTATGTAATCAAGTGAAATCAAGATAAGAACGCAACAGTAATGTAGAAGACTGTAAAAGCATTTTCAGTGCAATTGAAGTAAATTTGCACTAAATGCTGTTGTCAATAGTCAATTGTGGTGTTTCATATGCATGAGAGACAACTCAGTAATATGATATCACCAGTAGCTCTTGAATTGATAAATATCGAAAATAACAATCTAGAGACATTATTTCTTCTGTGGCTTGATACTTCAGTCAACTCTACTACAGAAAATATCGATGTTCAACAATCACGTCGCATATCGATCAATCATTTAAAAGTATTTGAATATATTGAACAGTGCAAGATTTGCATTGAATTTGTATCTGTCCACGATCAAGTTGTCCTTATTGTTAGTGGCCAATTCGGTCGTGAAATTGTACCTCGGATTCATTCATTATGGCAGCTCTACTCTGTATATGTATGCTGGATGGACAAAGCAAGTAATGAAAAATGAGCTGAGAATTTCTTCACTAACACATAATATTGAGATTGAGGATCGTATTGATTTTCTTGTATATAGATCAAAGGAGTGATTGTATCGTTGGATACGGTAACTGCTCAGATTCAGTCATACCCCAAGAAACAATATAGCAACAAAGTCGAAGAAAACTTATCATTTAGCATTTTCAATTTGTACATTCACAACTATTAATCGATTGCTTAATTACAATGAAATCAACAGCAGTAGTGAAAGGTGAACTGATTGGCACATGGAAAAAAGAACATGAAGGTAACGCAGCTCCATTGAATATTATTCATGAATTTGAGCCAGATTAATCGTCTGATCGACCTTTATGGTGGTATACAAGAGATTCATTTCTCTATCGACCAATGAATAAAGCTCTGCGAGTTCAAAATATTGACCTATTTTTTCTCCTACGATTTTCCATTCGTGATCTCGAACGACAATTGAAACAACATAAATGTGTATCTTGTCTTCATCTTTACCAAGGTCAACTAATGTCGATCGATAAATTAAAAGTATTGAAAGATTCTATCGGACAATTGATACCAATCAACACATTTCTCTCGACAACTATCAAATTGCAAGTAGCTCTTGCCCTTTTAACAACTTCTACTCCTTTAGATGGCATAGAACGAGTGCTATTCGAAATAGTTACCGATGGTCGACTTGAAAATGTCAGACCATTCGCTAATGTGAAACTACTCAGTTATTTTCCACAAGAAGAGAGAAGGTCATTATCATGTTGGGATCAATCTTTCGACTGGTAAACATTTATTGTAGCAATGAGCGAACATGTATCATTCAAATGACATTGTGCATTGGCAATGGTCCAGATTTAAAATATGTCTTTGAGCAAATGAAAGCAAAGCACAGCAATAGTAACGTTGATGAAAGTCTTCTCTCTTTGAGTCTTATTTTATTTGAAATAGGTAAATATGATCACGCTCAAAAGCTATTTATACCGTCTACTTAATGAATTATCTGAGCGTTAACTATCCAAAAGAAAAGCATTTTATTGCTGGTCATTCGTATTTGAATATCTTATACAATTCTTTCGCTGATACTTATCGAAGCTTTCAAAATTATGAAGAAGCTTTGAAACATGTTACTGCTTCGCTCACAATATTCGAAAAGTCTCTTCCTTCAGAACATTATAGTATTGTATCGACGTTTAAAATCATAGGTCATGTCTATGACGAAAATCAAGCATTAATCATAAGTTTAGATCAATATTGTAAAGCAGCTAACATAGCTATATGATCAGACGTCGCCAGCTTCACATTATTATGTGAACTCTATCAAGCAATCGACTGAACGACCTTTGTCGTAAATAAATAGACTGCATATGCAGAACAGTGAAAAGTATGATTGATAAGTGTAATCATATAGTATGGTGACTTAAATCAAGTCATCGATGTTAAATATTCATTTTAGTCATTTGCATTAGTTATTTTAGATTAAAATTGATACAATATTATCCAATGTATTATTCTTTTTTAAAAGACTAATGCTGACGTATATCATAACTGTTTACAATTAATTCTGCTATACAGAAGAAGAAAAAAATATATGGATACTATTTCTTTGTTAGAGTCTGCATGAATGCAACACTTCACTATATCAGTACAATGACACAGATAAGAAGTGAACATGAAGTAAATTTCTTAAAGAGAAAATTTTATTGATTTGTACTAAGAATTATTACATATAACTCAAATTTGATTTACTTTATTATTGGTTTGTTATACAATTATAATTAGTCTTAGTAGAAGTATAAAAATAATTTAGATTGCCTCCTTATTATTGAACTTTTGAATATATAGGATCATCAACAATTAATATTAAGACATAATCCAGTCATTTATTTCATATGAATGAATGGGGAAAATCACACTAACTATGATTAAATATATGCAGAAACCTCAGTATTAATCAAAAGCTTTGATTAAGTAAAAGCACTTCTACAGAAACAGCATATATTTAAATCAATCAATTCTGTTCGATTGATGTGCATTTTCATATTCATCCGTAATTGCTGATATATATAGTATGATTTTTTTCAAAAAAAAGGACGCAATATAAAAAAACTTCAAACTATTTGAAATAATATATTTATATACGTATAAAGAAACGAACCACACAAGAACGATTTGATTAATTTTGAATATAGATATAGTCACACAATAGCTAGTCGTGGTAATCATGTTTAAGCTGAAACAAATGTGAAAGAAAAAACTTATAGATCATTGCGACACGTGAGAGAAAGACTAGAAAGAAAGAAAAAAGAGAAAAATGAAAATGAATGTGAATAATCTATTTTTTTTATAGATTCGTCACCAACATAGACAAATTTAACAAACATAGTGATTTGCCAGTGTTGATGGTAATGAATCATCTTCACTTGAGTTGGAATGTTGTTTAGCACACGATGAACCAATAGCTGAATTGAATAACATTGAATGATTGCTATTATTTTCCATCGATATTGTTGGTGATTTAAAACTACTTATAAGCCGTTCAATACTACTATTTGTCATAGTGAATGTCTGCAGTTGTTGTTGTTCTGACATCAATATAGAATTTGAATCGTCCGTAGTATATGCTGAATTTGTTAGTACAGTTAAAGGATCAAGAATCGAGCACAATTCTTCGTCATCATTATAGATAATTGGTTGCTGTAAAGATGGAAGTGGTGGTGGTAGTTCAGTATTATTAATTAATGAGAGAAATGCTGTATCACCAAAGATCATTGATGATTGTGTTGGTATTGGTGAATTCTTCATCATAGTACATTCATTTAAATGATTTACTAAAACTAATTCAAGCTGATTTTTTCGCTTTCCTAAATCTTCAACTAGTTTTTCAAGACATTGATTATTATTTAATTCATTTAAATGTTCACTTTCAAGATTATTTAAAACATGTTCACGTTTCTCCCGACATTTCATTGCTGCAACACGATTACGTTCACGTCGATCACGACGTTTGTCATCTTCATCACCAGATAAAAGTTCATATTTTGAACGACGACCTGTAAATAATGTTTTTGATGGTTGCTTACGTGGATTAACTGTTATTGGTCCATATCTGTGTTTTATTCGAAAAAAGAAAAAGTTACACAATTTACAAAATTTAATCATTACCGTACACGACCTTCGGGTAAGATTTGTATATCTCCTTTTAATTGTGGTTTTAGGAGAATACGAACCGATGGATTAGTATTCATGGTATTTCCTTGATCTTTTGTTTTTCCTTGTTGTTTTGATGATTCTAACTGATTATCGGTCTTCCGAGCGTTGGATGTCGTTGCTGTTGAATGAGTTAGTGATGATGATAACGAAGGTTCTCGTAAATAATGAACTATTGAATCAACATCAGGAAATTTAGGAAGCATTTTTATTGATTATTTGTTGATTGAACTAGTAACTAAAATGAAATAAAATCATACGAATGCGATTTTTTTTCTCCAATATAGAAAATGTTGGTTTTTTCCAGTTGAATGTAAATAGAGAACAGACGTTCGAAAAAGGATCACATGACATCTATTCATTGAAATAATACAGGGAATACTCAAAAGAAAATCGAAAAAAACTTTTATGTACACGCATAGTTTTATATAATAATACAAGTAAACATATTTCACTGTCTATCTTTATCGTTGAATTAATTTGATAATTATCAAATCACACCTATTCAGTAGATATGTAATGAATTGCACACACTCTTAGTATTCTTCAAAATTACAAATTATTTCTAAAGAAAGATGTACGATATCTTTATCTAACTATATATGTTAGCTACTCAGATATGGCTGTGTTTTATTTTTTCTACACACATGACGTCATGCGTTGCTCGAGACAACATTCTATGCACTATGACTTACCTCTACGATAACACCAAATAAAAATAGAAAGAACACAAATATATATTTATATATATATTTCGTTTTTTTAAATTCTGTTTTATAGGACCAGATAGTTTGTTCTTATCGAAAGAAAAAATAGCTGATGTCATGAAAAGCAAAAGCAAAATATAGAAGCAATACTTCTGTTTTAGAATTTATATGTAAAACGCAAGAATGGAGATATTCTAACAGGCGTTGCATGATGAAAAAAAAGATGGAGATGAATTTCTCTTTTTTTCTTTTTCTGCTTTCGTCAGCGTGCATCGGCATTTATATTAAGAAAAATAAAATAGAACAAAAAAATAAAATAGAACAAAAAAATAAATAACGACATGAGTAATAACGTCTTTCTTTTCGAATACAGATTGACAGCAACAAAGGCCATTCAATGCTTTATTACAGTCACATTTTGATATTGTTGCTATTATTAAGCAGCAAAGAAAAAAACAAAATAAATGGTTTATATTAATCAAAAGGCTCTCTTTGCTACTTCTTCTAGTTCTCTTTTGTAAATTACAACAATGAAACAGACAATAGTAAGATATATATATATATATATGTTGCAAGAAAAAAAAACACAGAGACATGCTGATGTATATTTATAAATGTCAAAGTCTGTTTTAATGTTGAAATAGTTATATTAAATCTAATGCTTTTGATCATAAGTCCCTTCTCCTCTATAATTGCCAACATAACCTGTATTTTTAAATCCATCAACACGACCTGGTTTTCCTTTGCCATGCCCTTCGGCATCAAAACGTTCTTTGTGCGAACCTGTATATTGACTTGCATCAGTCATACGGTCTGTTATAATTTTATTAGCAGTAGTCTAAATAAATTAATCAATATAAAAGATTCATCTTTCTTTTTTATCTTAATTCATATCTTACGGTGACATGAACTAAACTTGGTCCTCCTGAAGCATTGATTTGTGCAAAAATTTGATCAGTAGATATGTTTTTCGATGCAGAAACTTGATCAATAAGTTGTTTAAAACCTTGTAGTTCAAATGTTTTACTAGAATATATGTTCAGATGTATAAAACTTCATCGATTTTATTTGTTATTACTTACATTCCCTTAGAATACGTTCCTCCAGATGTGAGTTTACCAAGAACACGTGCAATATCATTATCAAGTAATTGAGTTGTATAAGTATTATCAACAACACCGGCATCTTTCATCATTTTTTGAATATTTTTTGAATCAATACGAATATCTTTTTCTTTCAATTGTGTTTCAGTTTTACCAAACCTTGAATACTTATCGAAGGCATCTTTTAAACCACTGTTTCCACCTGATGCCATTGTGTTAAAAGTATTAATAATTTAAAACAACAAAATAATTCTAGAATAAAAAAATGAAATAATTTTGTTTATTCAAGACTTGCAAATAATATTGCTGTATGTCAAGTAAAATATGGCGGTTACTTGTTGTCCTGGAGATGGACAGATATTTAAATTAGGTAAGAGTACAAGATGAAAATATAAAAAAAGAAGAAAAAAAAAGAAATCATGTGTGTTACCATACGTCTTTGTTCTTGGCTTGCACGAGCGTCTTTGTATATGAATCATTCTTTCAAGTTTTAAACAGTTTTTTTATGTAATATTGAGAATAAAATATGTGAACGGCAGCAACCTTCATCGTCCTCTCTTAACGTATAGAGAAAAAAGTGTAAGATCTTCACTTTGTCTCACGCTTTCTATCGATTGTTGCGTGAGAATAGATTTAAACAATAAACACTCACTAGATCGATAAAAAGAATAGAAACAAAAAAGAAATTCTTTTTTTTACAGTCTACTGCAAACTGCTGTTGTTGGTAAATAAGATTAACTAGAATCTTTTATGGGAGCATACTTTTTCTTCTACTTAGTTTATCGGTTTCGTATAGATCGGATTAGGATAAAATTTAATCGATATTAATTATAAAATGTATGCATGCGAAAATTATTGATCAAATTTTGGTTTTTATTCGTTCAATTAAATTTTCTATCGTTTCTAAAAAACAAAAGCTTGATGTATCTCTTACTTTTTCTGTCGATGAGAACATAGTGGAAGTGGTATAAAATCTTAGCACAAAACAAAAATAGCTAAAGAATAAGTTTTCAATTTCCTCTTTGCCATCGATTTTCTTACATGTTTCACTAATGTTGTTAGCTAATATTTACTGAGTCGCCGATATACGTTTATATATTTTTGTCTCATAAGTTAACAGAATTTTTTGAATTTGATACTTTTGAAGAATACAAAATCCAGAATTCCAATTCTCTCAAGAAAATAGCTAATCGTAATTAATACGAAGTCTTGTTTTTCTGTTTTCTTTCTTTTACTAAATAATCAGTGTTGTTTATAGTCAATCGTTCGATCGTCATTTTAGATATGCTACGATCGTGATCATGTTATTTGACAGGCAAAATAAAAAATATTGATTAGAAAAATACAACCAGGAAAGTAAGCGACTTTATCGATTGTAATTGATACATTCAAATTCGTCATACAAATCCACTGCGTTTATTCAAATTTGGAAAAATAGTACTATTGAGTTGGCCTGAAACAGAAACAATTGAGAATCTAGACATTTTCATACAAGAAAAACTCATCTTTTAAATCTTTTAACAAATCTTTTGATAAGTGTCACGTGTCGTACAGAATTTTAAATACTTTCAAAACTCGAATAACACAAGACCTGAAATTTTCATCATTCTCAAGGAGAAGAAATAAAGAATTTATATCAATATTAAATACCAATGGATTATCCATTCATAAAAACATCGTACAACTGTATCTTTCAATTCAACTAAAATTAAAAAGCAAATATCTCTGTTCCCTGATATATATTTATGACTTGAAAATTAACACCATATCGATTTCAAATATACATTCGATGATATCTTAGTATTACTTAAATTGATACTGAGATCTTCTCTGATAATAAGAAATTACTGATTTTTGAAAATTTCAAGCTTACGGTAATGTTTACACTAGAAGTTAGCAAAGATGCACCTTGCCCAATCTATTTTTCTATTTTATAGACACACAAATCTCACTTCATGCTTCTAACAGGTGGGCCATAAATAATGACTGTTAGTATTTTTCAAATTTCTTTTCTTCCTCGACTCGATTGAGCTGATTCTACTCTCAAAAGATTCCACGTTCAATTCGCTACAAAATGGTGTATAGCCGATAATACGAAATTTTGAGATATTGTTTCGGCTGAACAAAATACGAGGTGTCCCAAAAAAACTGAAAAATGTAATCGTTTTCTAGCAAAGTTTTGCAATTTTAAATCTATGTCAAAATTGTATACAAATCAGATCCCAAGTTATTCTTTTACAAATTCAGATATTCTCTATCTGATGGGGACTAAATTCATTTTTTCTTCGTGCGTTAACCTGATAGAAAATGGCTAATTAGTTGCTTGCCGTGATAACATCAGCGAAATGTTAGTGTTATGAAGTGATATCATATCGATTTTTTAACAAAACAATATTTAAAACTATTTGGATGTGTATTTAGTAGGGAAACATTTTCTTTTTCATATGACGCTTGAACAAGTCTGATTGGTTTAATCTTGTTCGAAATATGATCAATCTGCGGATGGTCCTAATAAGTAAGCCAAAAAGGCTAAAAATCAGTGATGGGGCTTTTACGGAAACCATGAATGAAAGGATAAAATAAAGAAAACAATTTCGCTTTGATGGCCAATCGAGAGAGAATTTCAAGGGCTACAATTTTACGTATTTAGCTTTGACACGATTAAACAATTTGATTTATTATTAGCAAAAGACCAATTTTTAAGTTACATTTTTTCAGCTTTTTGGGACACCTCGTATTTTGTTCAGCTGAAACAATATCTCAAAATTTCGTACTATCGGCTACACACCATTTTGTAGAGAATTGAACGTGGAATCTTTAGAGAGAAGAATCAGCTCAGTCGAGTACGAGGAAGAAAAGAAATTCGAAAAATACTAACAGTCTCATTATTTATGGCCCACCTGTTAGATAATAAAAGCCATAAGTTTCTATGAATTTAAGTTTATAATATATTTAAATAACAATATACCATCTGATATTTTGAAAGAGATAAGAAGCATACTGTTTTAGAATATAATACATGGAATTGATTTTATATCAGAATAGTTTATAAATATGACAATGAATAAATAAGTCTCATTCTGAAATTGTTCTCAAATTATTTCTCTATGAAAACATGAAATTTTCATATAGTCAAATAGAAACTACATTTATTTTGCTGACTACAGTCGATAAGTAGATTTAAAAGAATTAATTCTTTATTATTATTATTATTCTTAATGACAGATCTATAATTTTTTGACATTATAAATCATAAACTGTATTCACCACTAGACAATAATAAAATAATTAGTTATCTATCTAATAAAAAGCAATTCATCAATCGTATATTTTCTGTAATTGAATTATTTATTGTTTATTTCTTATATTTTAACTTTGATCGCATATAATTACAAGTAACATTTATACTAGAGGTTTTCATCAAATATTAGATATATAATAATTGCAATGACTCTACTCGTTTCGACAACTTCATCAGATAACTGATTCAAGGTTTTCATATTTCTAGGTCACTGCTATCATTCATCTACTTCTATCTACATCTCTCTTATCTGAATTAGATTTTTGTTCCTATCAACGCCCTTGCGTTTCTTCTTTGTCATCAACAAACAACTTGTTCATTTTTCAAATTATCATATGTATTGAATAGAACTTTGACTTGAAGAATTCAACATCTATCAAGACACTTCCATGATGGAAATACATCGAAGTAAAAAAAGAAAGATAATATTAATGTATTTGAATGTGTACCAAATGTAGAAAGGAAATGCACTACTACTCAGATGATCTTATCTATGGGCAACGGCTAAAGACAAAAACAAAAAAAATATGACATAATCTAAATATTACTGTATAATATCATAATATCTTTATTATCTTTGCTAATCATGTATCGAATGAAGTCGTTTTTTTTCAACTAAAAAGAGAGTACTTTCAGTTTATATTCGAAACTAAAAAATAAGATCATTCTTTTTGATTTATGATGTTAGTTTTCATATTCATATAAGATTTGTACTCGAAAGAAATTTCAACAATAAAAAATTATTTTCATTGAGTTTTGTTTAGGCGAAAACTATAATTGATATTTTCAATTGAGTTTCTAAGCAAAATTTGATTGATTTTAAATTTCTATCACTGAAATTATGAAATGAGCTACCTAAAAAAATGAATGAATTCGGAGCCACTGTATGTATTCGTATAGAGTATTCGATATTTTTATTGTATTAATCATCGATTACCTACTATCATATCATAGGTGTAATTTGATATTGAAGGCAGAGTACAATGAGATCGCATTCAAGAAGAAAAAAAGGAATGCTAACCGTAAGTAGACAATTTTCAACACTACATAACATCGCATCCTATGCGTTTCTTATAATATACGCCTCTGTAGATAGTATGTACATATATCGCTTCTATAAATTTAGGTTTTTGTATTTTAATGTCTTCTGTTTAATGCAATATTGATTTTCTACATGTAAGTAATAATATAATATAAACATTTTTTTGGTTTATTCTAATTTTTATAATAGAAAAAAAAATACTTTAACTTGATATTTACTCCGTGTTGACAAGTTTTTTATTGTTTCTCAATACGTAAGTAAAATGAAAAACAAATTGCGCCACGAAAAAATTTAGCGACATCTATTATGATTTTCAATATGATTCATCAAAAATGACCAATGATTATTTGAAAAAGAAAAAAGAAATAAATAAATTCCAGTTTTTTTTATCGATATACGAATCCTTTTTATTTCTACTGCAACAAAATCGATCAAAACGTTACAAAGTATAGTTTAACATTCAATTTTCCATCGATATTGCATTTATGCAATATTTATCGTCACAGAAACATGAACGTCAAGAATTGAAAGATTTGATTATAAAAGCCAATAAATCTATCAAAACGATTTCATCTATTAGTAAATCGATCAGCAAGTAGAAGAAGAATTAAATAGAATCGTATGTTAATTCAGGTAAAAGAAGTCTTTGTGGGATTTTTGATCTTATTCAAAGGTTTTCAATATATAATTATCGATCTATTCTTTTTTTTCTCGAATCTTTACACATCCACCCATATCTACATATAAGTTATAAAAAGCAAATTAACAACTACTTGGAATTTTCATGTTGAAATCAAACATCAAAAATAATTTTCTTTCTGTTTTTCACTTTTTCTTTTATTATCCATCGAGTAAAGATAAGAGAAGGGATTTATTGAAATATGTATTTCACTATAGACGCCTTGGATTAATTTAATACTCTTCGAAATGAAGTACTCGCTGTTTTTCTTTCTATTAGGAATCATTCAAGTAAAATATTAAAGTCTGGTCTTTTTATCTTATATATAAATGCCAATGAATAATATGTTAATAGAATTCGTTTTCTGCATCTATATATTATTATAAAATAGCTTCATCTATTTGAAGAGTCTCAAAGATATTGAAATTACAGCGAAGGATGAGAAAAAAAAGATATATATATATATTAGCTATTAGCCTTAGGTAATACTTATATTTTAATTGATTTCAATGTAAACGATGCCCGCAAGAAATAACAGTGGTAAAATACCAGTGAAAGCTATAATACGAAAATTATGATTAGAAACTTTTTTTAATTATTCATAAAATTTTTTGAATATTAAATACTTTTATTGTTCTATTTTTTGACGATAGATATAAATAGCTGTCTCTTTTCTGTTTTCATTCGATCGTCATCCGCCTACCAATCCACTCTCATATGCAACTCTTTTTCTTTCCATATTTTATTCCATCTTCTGTTATGATTGTCAAGTCCTTGCGTTTACATAGCATTGTGTAACGTTGAAGTCTTTCGGCTGCAACTCAATTCGTAGAACAGGACAAAGAACTGAATGCAAATCTTTTTTTTACATGTATATAGATTTTCTATTCTTTCTCTCGTTTTTCGCATCATCTCTTTTCCGATCAAGTCTGATGACAACCTCATTAACAAATCTTGCCGGTTCGACAGGATACATAGGAGAGCTATGTGTCCTTTCGCTCTCTCTCTATCACCCGTTCGCTCAAAAATATAGTAATCTTTTGTGAGAACGCAAACGATGGGAGCCAACACCTACCTAGTTTGCTTCCGTTTTTTTATAGACCACTTTTGGCATTCATCTAAATTTTTTCAGTACAAATCAAGTGTAAGTCTACCTACACAATTGACAATGTTACACATTGAATATAGTTACACATTATATAAATGCATTTCTTTCTCTTTCTCTTACTATTACTGTTAATATTACTATTATTGATGAGTTAACATAATAAGAATATAATTGAAAATTATAACCTAATCTAAATATGTGTGTTCCATATCATTGGACATGTACTTCTCGATCGTGGTTTTCTCGTCTATCGATCAGCAGGTCGACAAGTCAGTCATCATATGTTGGTTATATTCGTGTGTATTGATATGAAAGAAAGCCACCTTACAGTTATTATGATTTATGGAGAATAAAAAACAGAATGTAACAGCAGTTAGTCGTTCGTGTATGATGGTAGCACTTGTTTCTCTTTTCTTTGTTGCTTTTATCGTCTTAGGAAGCGATAGAAGTAACCGATAGCTGACGTAAGTATGGTTGTAGAAAGGGCCAAAGGAAAAGTCCCAAGCTTCTGAAGGTGAGAATCAGATTGGCACTATTATTTGATTAATTAAATATTAAAAATGTCTGGTATTAAAACATATGACTTTTTTTTAAACAGTATCATACTAATTCAACATCCGTTTGTTTATAATTTGTATTAAGTTAAATATTAGAAACACATTGAAACGATAAGAATAATAAATAGTAACTTTATATAGCGAAGAAATACGAGTCGATTTGTAACTATGTTTAGGTAGAATTGTTCTTTCTCGTATTCTCTTGTCTTTCTTCTTCTTTTGCTCGTGTCGTATTCTTGTATTCTTCTCCTCGTGATCATTGTAATGTGTTTTTCACGAGAAAAAAAATAATGATGAATAAAGAGAAAGAAAGAACATCGTTTGAGAAAAATCTCAATAAAAATATTGACATAGAGATATACATATAAAGAGAGAGACAAGCATTGAGGACACCATGGCTCTAGCATTTATTCTTGACCGAACAGATGGTAATTTTGAAGGATATTCTCTCGAATAGAGAAGGAAAGAGGAGACATAGAGAAAGAGAAAGTGAGGATTCAACAAGAAAAGATCGCAATAGTCACGTTCTACCTACAACATACCGTCATCCATTGTCAAAAATTTCTCTTGGATTTGAATAGTTGCTCGTGCTTGATTGTCATCATTGACAGTTCTGTGTTCTTCGCTTCTGATTAGTTGATGTTATCGTTGACGATAGTCACACACACGAGTTCGGTTTGTTCTCATCACAAAGAGAGGAACAACAAAAAGAGAAAAAAAGAAAGAATTATGATGACAATGCGAGTTCGAACAATGTGACTGTTTTGTTACATCATGGTTACAAATAATTTTCTTTCTATCTATATTTTTCAGATGACTTGGACGGTTTCTCATAATCATCGTCGTCGACGACTTTGTTCTTCGTCTTTCTCTTAATCTATTATTGTATCTTGTCAGTATTTCAATGGCTGTGACATTCGAATCATTAAAACAATCAAATCATGTTGAAGTTCAAGAAAGTGATCCGATGTCACCATCATCGTCACCGCAACTAATATCATCTAATGATATTCATGAACCTTTAACTCATAATTCAAATAAAAAAATCGAAGAACAAGTACCAATTTCTGAATCAGAAGAAACTGATATCACAACTAATGTTGTCAATGATTTTATATCAGATACAGATACAACAACCATAAATTCAACAAATATGACCACTGCTGAAGCATCATTTACTGAAGCAACACCAGCTGATTTACCACTAGGAGCAACACGTTCCTCTGTAGCTCGAATTCTTGTTAAACCTGGACAAATTTTTCGTGTTCAAGTTGATAATGAAGTTAAAGAAGTACATGGTAAGTTTATTGATTTTCATTCAAAGAAACGATGAACTTATAAATTTAAATGAAAATAATTTTTCATACATTTTTATTATCGAAGTATTTAATTACAAAAACGAAAATAAGTTTGAATATGTTTCAATTTAAAATAAAAAATGAATGTGATCGAACAATATTCTCATTAGAGACAGATGTTACTTTCTTTTGACATATTACTGATACCTAGTGTCCGACTAGTTTATCATAATCGAATAGAACCTTAGCAGAAAAACAAACGATGCCGATGATGCCAAATAAATGATCGATGAAGTCAGTTTGTTGTTTTTGCATAGTATCATTTACTTTTCAGCGCTTGATATGTATCATATTTAATGCCTGGAGTGTAAGATGTCTAGGTAATAGGTTATGCGTATCTTAAGTGACAATTGACAAGGCCTTTGCGTATGATTAGTACACAGATAAAGTTCTTTTTGATGGATGTTTATGATATATACTATATATATATATATCATTTTTTTTCTTCTTCTTTTCATAATTAATAGTTGAATAAAATCTTCAATAAAAACAACGAATTGTTCTGTATGTGTAATGGTCAGTTGTGTGGTCATTTATATGCTCTATTTCTTTTTCTTCTATTTATTTAACTATAGTAGAGAAAAGGATTTTTCGTGACAACAAATATAGTTCTTAGTGGAAGATCGTTCGATTATGGTAAGTTGTCACGTGTTTATTTTCATATGTCACACGCCATTAAAAAAGGAAGTTTGAGAGAAAAAGAAGAAGACAAGGATGCTGCTGGAGGCAAGCCAATGAATAGGAGTAGTGGCAGCACTAAGAATAGATCCGTTATTGTGTGCATGTATGTATGTTCTTTTTTGCTCTTTCGACAGCTATGCTAATTGTATACGCAGAAGAAAAAGAGAACCACAAAAAGAGGAAAAGAAAGAGAAAGAGAAAGAGAAAGAAAAAGAGGAACAACGATCAGCGATGTATATACATCCTACAAAACAGTACATTAGACAAATGCGACCTATGGCCGAGATACATACATGTAAAGAATATCATCTTGCCAAAAGATAGTCATCGTTTGATGGCCAAAAATAATCAAAATTTATGTAGCAACATTGATTTTTCATTTGATTTATTTTGTTGAAATATTATTCCATGAATTATGTATGAAACACGATGTATTTCAATGAATGGATTTTATCCAGCGACGTCATCTTGTTCATCAAATACTTCACCAGATTTACTGAAACATCAACATTTACTTCTTACTACTGTACCATCATCATCGCATGTATCTCATCCATATTTTCAACAACAAAAACAGTATCTTTTTGATCCCCATCATCAACGTTTTCATTTTAATCATTACAATAATAGTAATTCCAGTGTTAGTAATGACATAAACTCCTCATCATCTGCATCATCATCGTCATCATTAAAAACTTCTAATCATGATCAATTACAATCATGGTTTGCTGTTCAATCACCAGGACAGCAACAGCAGAGTATGTTTTCCGATCTATTTAATGGCTTGCTCCTGTTAATCTTTTGGAAATAAACTTTTTTTTATGGTCGTTATACAAAGAGAGAAAGAAAAAAATCTTTATTTATTCGAACAAATTCTTTCTTTCTCTCTCGTTCTCAGTTTATACATATATATATATATATATATACGTGTATGTATGTATGATTCATCAACATTACAATATTGTACTCATAATTGTTGAAGAGTACAGCGAACTAAGTAGTAAACTATAGTTATGATCGATATGAATTGCATGTGGTCAACACCAATATTATTGACCACAAGTGTAGTAGAAATAGAAAAAGCAATTTTCTTTCGAAAGAAAAACAATGCAAGACTCATGGTTGTATTACTAATCGATCTCTTTCAGAGTAATACCACTTGGAGAAAGATAACCGTTTGTTTTATTATTGCTAGATTGACGTCATGTAGCTATTTCACGAGTTAGTCATTCGCCCACTATATCATGCGGCCTGACAAGTAGCTACTGTGTTTTTTCTTCTCACTCTCCCTCACTACCTATCTTTTACTTCACAATGTTTATGACCTTTTGCTAGGCTTCTTTACCTTGAATAAGAACAAGGAAAAATTGTTTGATGAAAAAAAATGTTTGACAATTTATTTCGCTCTTTTCCGTTTTGTTACATTACATGAAATTAATGCCTACTCGTTTAATGCGAACCGTATAAAAGTTCATTGAAAAAACGGTATCGTATACATGTGTTAATATTTGTTGCAATTTATTACTTTAGGTCCGGCAACGGTGAGAATGATCTCAGAGAACGGGCCAGCCTTTCCATTACCTTTACATTTACCACCTGGACATACTGTTCAACAAGTTCTAGACGAAAATGGTGTATTAACACATGTTATTATGCCACAGCCAGGACCACCTCCGCCACCACCCCCTCATCATTTGGTAAGATCAAATAAGAACTGTTTGTCAAATCTATTATCTATACGAGTTCATTCAATATCAATTCATGTATTTTTAAATCTAGCATCCCGGTTATCCTCCATCACTCTACAATGGGATTTATGGTCATCCTTCGCAATATCATAATCCAAATGTATATGGACCTTATCCAAACGACACGTTGTCTTATCCCCCACGTTCTGCTTGTAATCATACATCCTTATCAGCATCAACAAATCGTATGAAATATAATTGACAAAAATGTATTTATTTTTATTTATTATCTATTTAGCATCACACTGTTTACTTCATCTATCAGACAGTAATGGTTCGACAACAGCAGCGTCTACTATATCTATATCAACACCATCAAGTAGTTCAACCAATAATCAACAACGTCGTTCACCTGTATATAATGCAAATAATAATGTTTGTAATACAACTGGAGGAGGAGGAGGGGGAGGCGGAGGCGGCGGAGGTTCGAATGGAAGAAATTTAAATAATAGTGGACAAAAACGACGCACACCACAATCTCATGTGAATAACAATTCATATGTAAATAATGTTAGCATGAGTAAGTTTATTTGAATATTATGAAAAGCGCTCTAATTTGATATCGAATAATGATTAAATATTGATTTTGTTAAACTTATTTTTGAAATGGACAATAGTTCTAATCGATCTTTACCTATTAAAAGTTATCGACAAATACGTTTAAATACAAAGCTCTTAATAGGTTTTTCATCTTCACTATCAAAAAACCAAAATAGAGAAGAAAATTAAATTCGTCAATTAGTTGATAAATATATATAATAATTTAGATGGTTCACAGAAATCTCCACATCATCATCATCCACCACCAACAACATTAGCACATTATACTTCATTTTATCGGGATATAATTGTTCAACCAAATAATGAACCGGTTGATTTAGCGGTTGCTGCTGAATTTGATAAAGAACGTCAAACTATTGAAAAAAGTCTATCGAAATTATCCTCACCACTCGTAGGAGTTTCTTAAACTTGAACAATAACATAAGTTATGGTTTTTTTCCTGTTTCTTATGTATAGATTCAAGATATTGAGAGTCGAAGTGCTTTAGTAAGAATTCAACCGCCATGCTCAACATCATCACAATCAGATTATTCGATTGATTTTATGAATCTTATCTATGAATTATTATTGTCCGACAAAGGCAAAGATGCCAAATACAAACAAGTCTATTGGTAAGATATGAAAAATAAAACATATACTGATTTCATCTTGCCAAGTTCAAGATTTATTTAAAAAAGAAAAACCTATCAAAAAGAAATTACGTGTAAAATTTTTCTCTATCAAATTTCTAATAACCTTGTGATAAGAACATTGAATAAGTACTATTCTATGTGCACAAAAGAATTAATAAAGATTCTACTATTTGCTCTTCTCTCAATAATATACATGACATTAGAACAATTGATAGCAAAATTTAATTGTGTCACCTGCGAATTAGGTCTGACTGTAAGGAATATTAGAAAGATTTTAGAATGGATTTGAAACGTCGTATATTTCTCTACAACAAAAACAGCAAAGTCCTTGTAACCTAAGCAAATGATTGGATCGACTTAATACCAAAAGTTTAGGGTCGATTGATTACTACTACTGCTACGTATATAAATGATTATTGCAACAACAGTATGATGTATCTAGTAACTTTTTCAAATTGAGTCTTACGTTAGTCGTTTGTCTGAATTTTGAATCTCACGCTAAAAAGTACGTCCATACTTCGACCATTTTTTAGTTTATACAAGCAAATCAGCTGTCTAACAATATAGATAGTTGTGTCAGTCAACAGCAAGTATCCTGAGGCCATGAACAGATTATATGATATTAATCAATCGAAGCACAAACGAATGAATTACTAGAAAATGTATTCAGTCATATGAATCATGCATCGACACCAAGTAAAAAATCCTTGATAATTGATTAGGTTTATACTGTATTGAAAATGTTATTAAACATAATAATTAAATACATAGAATCCTTTTTATATATTTGTGTAGCTTCAAACATATTTAAACATATGTATGAGAATCAAAGAAATATAAAAACGAATTGCTTCAGTCGATTTGAGTAATTAGCATTTACTTCAACGCGCTGAAAGTGAATGAGATTAGATTTCTATGATAATAGTACATAAATATTTTCTTCAAACATCATCGATTTTATATTCTTTTTTTTTCTAATGTTGTTTGTATCATTTCAGTCTTTAATAGTTAATAATCCTATGAAATCTGTTGATTTCAAAGAGTCTGGATAATACATATCTAAAGGAAAAGAAAAATATTTCTTGTAAAAATATATTTTTATTTGTATGTGTGGATACACAAAGAATTATTATTTTGGACGATGATATATAATCTGAATAAATGATGCACGTCTAACTTTTCATGTTAACAAATATGTTTTCCTGAGTCTAATAGAAACTAGAAAATTATAGTATGAGGCTAATAGATGTTTAGTCTATAGATTATATGGGAGGTGGATTAAAAGAGATTTTATGAGGGCGGTAGCACACTACTAAAACAAAACAAAGATAGAACAGATTCAGTATTCGTTTATGTTAAATGATGACAAATAAATGCTAACACGATTAAAAAGTAAGAACTCAAAAAGGTAATCCAACCAAGAAACATTCATTCTTATTACAAATATTTTATTTTGACTTAAGAATAATATTGTAAACTTTTGGAAAATTAAATCTTACATCATTGTTTATGTAATAAAATCTTATGTATTGTCAAAGATAATCACTTCAAAAGCTTGAATACTAATCTACTACAATAAAATAATTATTTTATTCATTAAAATAACGATAAATTTTAGGAGTTCTGGAACACTTCTTACCGAATATATATGTAAATACTGAGTAGAAAGTCACAGACGCTTAGTTCAATTGTGTAACGCTTTGATTGCGCCATTGAGACATGATTGTAATAAAATAAGTTATTTTATGTAATAGTATGTTTCAATACTTCATCAAATATTGATGTTAGAAGATTGAAGATGAGTCATATTTTGTTCTCAATTCTGGAAAGTTTTTCATTTTTCTCTAATCAATTTGAATGTTTTTGTTACGATTTTCGCTTCAGAATATCGGCAACCTAATAATTTGACCAACTGTTGAAACACATCAAAAATTGTAACTTATGACACTGTTTTTAATAACAATCATTTTTATTTTAGCGGGGATGCAAATGAAATAACTTTAAAAGATCTTAAACCAGCAACAGAATATCATTTAAAGTAAATAAATAAATCGAATGTCTAATTTTGTATCTCTTTAAATTTGAATATAACTTCTAGAGTATGTGCCTGCATTGATTCATGTAAAGGTGAATATACGAATCCAATTCCATTTACCACTGAACAATGTGAACCTGATCAACCTCTACCACCAAAATTACTTGGTAGCCGATTAAAAAATTCTTTGACACTAAAATGGACAGCAACAGCTGATAATGGATCAAAACTTACTCATTATATTCTTGAATATGATGAAGTTCGTACTATTGAAATTTCTTAGATTAAAATAATTTGATCTTTTCTAGGGTAAAGGTCGAGAATTTGTTGAAATATATCGTGGTATAAAAAAACAATCTATGTTAAATAAATTAACGCCAGCAACATTTTATGCTTTTCGTTTGGCTGCTGAGAATAGTATAGGACGAAGGTAAAATAATAAATCAAAACATGTGCACTTTAGTTTGTTATCTTTTGTTTATTTTGATTCTAGTGAATTTAGTGAAACAGTTCAATTTAGTACATTAGGAACAATCCCACCTGAACCTGATCCACCAACGTTGTTAGAAAAAGGTATTAAACATTTAACATTATTATGGACTAAACGGCTGATGGATGAAACATTTACATTACAAATGAATGATGAATCAAACTATTTTAGAAATAAATATTCAGGTTCATTATTAACGTATACAGTAACTGATTTATATCGAAATACAGAATATAGATTTCGAGTAAGAAATCTATTATGTGTTCTGTAGAAAAATAATTCTATTTGATTATTATTATGTTTAGTTAGCAGCACATAATCAAGAAGGGCAAAGTAATTATTCACAAATAGCTACATATAAAACAGTACCTGATCGACCGGATACACCAGCTAAACCAAGAATAAAAGGGCAAATACAAGCAACACAATGCCGTATAGTTTGGGGTCAGAATAATTTCAAATTCATCTTTGGTAGAAGAAATGTCTTTTGTAATTTTTAGATCCACCAAGAGATAATGGAGGTGCAGATATTGAACAATATTATCTTGAATTGGAAGAATCCAAAGGTAAAAATCGATCATACAAAATTATTGCAACAGTTTATTTATTTATTTTGTTTTAGGTTTTCATGTGATTTATAATGGTTTAGAGACAGAATATGTCCTTGAACAACTTATACCTGGTCATTCGTATTCTCTTCGTTTATCATGTTCGAATGTAGGTGGTCAAAGTGATCTATCGGATATAGCACAAATAAAAACACCAGCTGTAGCACCTGCTTCATGTCATCCACCGAAGATTTTGGGAAAACCAAAAGCCAACTCATTACATCTTCGTTGGGGTACGAAAAGAGAAATCTTTATTTTTTTCTAAAAGAAATAAGAAAATATTATCAGCAATCATAAATGGTCTCACACTGTTTTCTCATTAAACACATATCATAGAATACTGATACTAATGAAATAGCTTGAGTTGTACTAAGGAAATTTGGTAGTGCAACTATTTTAGAGAAAAAAGCAATGTGTTACTCAGATGCTTTCATTAGCTTCATTAGACTAATATGAAATATATCACGTGGAAAACTTCTAGTCGACTGAAACTATTTTTCAAGGTCGATTAATCAAACGAAAAATTACGACTAATTCATATTTACATTTTGAACACGGATTGTTATTGACTTCTTGTATTCGATTTTCCTATACGTTTTTTTTTCTACGAATTTAACACAAACAATTGATTTATAAAGTATATAAATCTATTATTTATAAATATTGATACTCGGTCTTAATACGCTATTTTTTTTTAGTAGATAAGATTAAAAACGTCTATTTTGTTTTTGATTTACACGTTAATTAGTTCACAGTTTAGTACTTGACCATATGAGAACTAGAGTAAATCGAGAAAGCAACACACCTTATCATTGATGATATCAAGAATACTGCTTTTTATCAGTAAAAAAGAATTAGAAAGCTCCACTATTTAACGCATTGGAAAGCACAATATCAGCAATTCAAATTTCTTGTATGACCTAACTCGGATTTTCATCGATTGTTTGTGTTTCGAAATAACTCTGAATACTTAGTTTCACCTCTGTTCTTATTTTCATGTAGTTGAGAAAAGGTACTGCTTAGTATTTAACTTTCCAGTCCACCAACGGACGTCTTGTAAAGAAAGAAAATCATTAAAACCTTGATTTCAACGCACATTCATTAGTGTCACAACAGACAAGTATTATTCTTACGTTAACGATAAGCATAGTAGAACTTAAAAGTAAGGGTTGTTAATTATTTTGATGTAATTCAAGAAACTCTAGGTTGTCACTTATATTGTTTTCTCCAAAAGCCTTAAAGAACATTCTTTACTCATTTAAACTTTATAGTCGATTGCATGACGAAAACATGTAAAGAAGAGAAACGAATAAGTGTTCACTGAAAGACTTTTTAATATTTTATCTTATACTTTTTAGTATATCCTGATTATGACGGTGGTGCGTCTGTTATCGAATTTGAAGTTCAAATGATAAACTCTGATAATTCATCACGAATCGTTTATCGTGGACGTGACCTTGACTGTATAGTTGCTGATTTACTACCTGGTCGACCATATTTAATTCAAGTTCGAGCATTTAATCAAGCCGGTGTATGTGAATTCATTCTAGGATTTAATTTTTGGTTAATTTTATATTTTATTTTAGGCTGGTCCATGGTCAAAATATCTTGATGTCATTTCTGGTCCCGGTATACCTGAAGCACCACGAAATATTTCTGCTGAATGCCGCACAGCAAATAGTGCACTCATAAGTTGGGAAGAAGGTGTAAACAATGGTGCAGCTATAACTGAATATCGTCTTGAATGGTCAAGAAAAGAAAATTATTCATTCATACAACTTTATTGTGGTACAAATTGTACATATGAAGCTAAAGGTCTTACTCCTGCTACACATTATTTTTTTCGAGTGCAGGTAAAAATAACAAAAAGAATAATATTGTTCTAAGACTCTTAAATGATAAAAATATTGTTTTTCTAGGCAGTTAATTTAGCTGGTATCAGTCCATATAGTATGCTAGCATCATGTGTTACACCAGGATCTCCACCATCGATAGTTACATCAGTAAAAGCCTATCCGAAATCAACATCAATGACAATCACTTGGAAAGAACCAGCTAATAATGGATCAACTATAACATGTTATCATATCGATATTGGTGAAAAAGAACTTATTTTTGCTAGTCCCGAATTGATAGAATATACAATAAACGAAGTATTACCTGATACAGCTTATAGGTGAGTAGTTCGTTTTTTTCTTTAAAATTTTTAAAATTAGATTATTTATTTGCTCGTAGAATTCGTATACGAGCTGTTAATACAATAGGACAAGGTCCATTCTCTTCAACTGCTAAATGTCATACAAAACCTTTACCGCCCGATGCACCACAGCTTGAATGTGTAGTAGCTACGTATAATTCTATAAAATTGAAATGGAATACTGTCAATCATGTAATTTCAACAGTAGTAAATAATACTGAAATGACTACATCCGCTCGTGTTATTACATATATTATTGAAATGGACGGAAAAGATGGAAAGTAAGTCGTAGAAAATGTTTAAGAAAGATAAAAATTGATTCCTTGATTGATCTTAGTTTTAATTCTATTTATATTGGAAATGCATCTTCACATAAAATAAATAAATTACAAGAAAATACATCGTATCATTTTCGTATATGTGCGAAAAATGATACTGGTCCTGGTCCATGGTCTGAAATACATACATTTACAACACCAAAATCGCCACCAAATACTTTAAAAGGTTAGTTCATTGCAGTACTAAGAAAACATAAATCTTAAAAAAAGAACTTCTCGGTTGGTCAAATTCTATCTATGACCAATCTTTTTCATTATCAACTATTAGTTTTGCTAACAAAGAATACATGCAAATCGATTAATCATTTTAGAATTGAGACTATGCACATCATGCAGATATTGACAAAATTCTAGAAAATATATATGAGAGAGCTACGGAATTTTCAAAAATTTTCTTCTGTGCTTTAGAAAGACTCAATAGTTTAACATTAAGCTATTCTCATTAAAATTTGTCTCTTTGAGAAATTTTAAGTCGAAAATTTAAAAATTATTTGTAATTAAAAATGGCAAGCAACGTGAATTTTTGGCGCCTGAGTGAACATGCACCTTTTCTCATTAGTATTTCTTATTTCACACATGCATCGTACAATCAGAAATATTACTAAGCCTTGTAAAAAGCTACAATACTCATTTCTTCTTCTTCTTCTGTGTTTCATCATATCACAAATAGTTAATATCTATACTCGTTATAAGTTTTTGATATTTCTTTATTCTATCTATATTTTTCTCAGCACCAAACATAACAGAAATAACATCTACCTCATGTGTTTTCAATTGGCAAGCACATAAACCTCTTGGTAAAGATACTCTCAGTTATATGTTACAACTTCAAATTTATAGAAAAGAAAATGATTACATTGAAATGTACAATGGTGAATTAACATCATATCGTGCAACAAATTTAGAATCCGGTGTTGATTATCGTGCACGTGTTTGCGTAATTCGAACGACCAATGAAGGCTTATCATTAAATAGCCCATTTAGTCACGCAACACATTTTGTTTTGTCACGACCAGAAGATTTGGCTGCAACATTATCTGCTTCGAAAACATTAGATAATCGTTTGTTGAATGGTGATAATCGTGAGCAACAACCATCGTTTATAAATCGATATCGTTCAGCAGTTCATCGAAAATTCAAATTAATGAAATTATTTGAAAATCGAACATTAACTGATCAACAATGGGCATTTGTAATATCAGTTGGTTTTGCCTTATTAGCCATCTTTATTGCCATATTTGCCAATGTTATCTATTCAAAGTATAATAATGATGCATCAATATCAGTCGATAATACCTTTTCTTCATCGTCTCCAGGAACAAGAAATTAACAGTGAAATTATTTCAGAAAGAAAATGTTTTCTTTTTATATCAATTCTTCTTTCCCTATATCTGGGCTTATTTCCTTTGTTTTATCTGTTGTTCTTTGCACTGTTAAATGTTGTTAGTTAGCCTCTGGCTACTGGTTATTATGATTGAGAAAAAAAAACAATAAGAATTAACTTACGTTTTGATTATGGATGATATACATGCGCAATTAGAATATACGTATAAAACTTTTTCTTTTGTGTGTATGAACGCAGCTACTGCGGTAACAATTTTATTTTTACTATTGTTTCCCATTTTTAACTTTTTCTGTTCTTGTTCATTGTTCTCTTTCTCTTGTTTTTTGAATGTTGTTAAGCGTGTGAAGCAAGTGAACGCGAGTCGCAGGCATAAAATATATTGATAGAAATATATATAATTATTTGATTTGAAATACGTGTTGGATTTTAAACTGCAATAAAGTGAACAGTTAATATCTTTTCGTTTACTTTTTTCTCATGCACAGCATATGCAATATTGATAGTTGATTTCAAGGATCTCGATAGAATCTATGAATATTTGTGTATTTAGAGATCATAGTTTGCTTGATTCTCTCATTTATAAATGATTCAAAGACAAGGTTACTACGAATCCTGCAGAATTAAAAAAACGTAATATAACGTAGCTGCTGTTGCTAATCAAAGAATAAATGTTTTATGACATGTGATGTAGGACATATTTTGTCAATATCGCTTTACGTCGTTCTCTACAGATATTGTAAGAAGTCAATTTTTTTTCGAAGGAAATTTTATTCGTTTACAACTTTTCATAGTGTCTTTTTACCAATATTTGTCAGTTGTTCATTCATTTAGTTCAATATTACTGTTCGATATAAAATAAGAAAGAATTAAATTTCCATATGTACTAATAACTTATCTATGATTTCTTATTCAAATGTAATCATTGATTTTGTTGCAAGATGATTTTCTTCTTAACTTTTAAGTCATTGGATTGAAACAAGAAATAATTTCTAAGGTTGCAACTGCAATAAATGCATAGAAATATAGCAAGGCTGTTTGGAAGAGCCTGAAGTCTTTTCCCCACTCATACAGCAAGTATTGCAATGCAATTTTTCTTTAAAAAATAATCACGAATCAATCTTCCTGTAAAGGTAATAACGACAAATTGCTAGTGCATAAAAAAATCTCGAATCAAAATTATTGGTAAGACATTAATACTATGTTTGATTCATCATGAAAAAACATAAATCTTAAATTTATCTATCTTAAATTGAACGTCGAAGATAGTTCAGATCAGATGGAGTTCTTAATGACTATTCTTTATAATATTTGCATATTGGAACATACACACACCTTTAGGTAAGAGAATTATTAAGAAATATATATCCCAAAAGATACAGAATAAACCAATCTTCCTATGACAAGGACAAACAGGCACATCGTGTTTCAAATGTAAATCTAATAGGAAATGCGCTTGCATTTTTTTAGGAGTGCAATGAATTCTCGCTAATTATTTCGTTTTATTTTATTGAAATTAGTTAAAATTGTTACAATAAAGTAATTATATTTATAAAAAAAACATTGTCAGTACACAACTGTTTTTTAAAACTAAAAAAGTCAATTAGAATCAAGCCATTTATGTCCCTACTAATCACTAGCACTACTTTGTTTCTTTTTAAGCAGATTCCAGAGGATGTTACCAGCATTTGCAAGATCGCTTGTTTCAATTATACCGTTATGATTAGCATCTAATTGTTGAAAAATATATTTCGATACAATATTACTTGCAGCGCCAGGAACACCAAATTGTTCTAATAATAATTGTAAATCTTCTTTTGTTATACGCCCATCATTATTCTTGTCTAACAACTGAAATAATTGTGCTGGATCACCAAACGTTTTTGATATATCATTTATATCTATATGTGAAGGCATAGCATCAGCAGCGTCTTCTTCAGATGCCATTTTATCAGATATTGAGAGTCTCGATTTTGTTATTCAGACTAAATATATACGAATGAATGGATTGAAAATATGCTTACTTGCTATTATAAATAGTTACTGTATATTTATTCAATCACTACTGTAGAGAATGAAAAGAAAGTTTGAAGTAATAGTGAAAATGCCTCTGGAAGATCGATTTGCATATGTTGAATTACCGTTTTGTATGGATTCAATTATTCATTCATTTTTTAATAATAATAATTACTTTTTTCTCTAGATGAATCATTTCGGTGTGATTCTCAACAGGTGTAAAATACAGTTCACTATTAGATCTTGATTGAGATTAAGAATATTGCAAGTTTCACTCACTAAGATCGAAGAGAAATAACATCCATTGTTTAATTTTTCAGTGTGATGATAATTACGAACTAGTTTTTAAATATATAAATGAATTAATCAAGAAGAAACTCACATTTTATCAAAGAGAAGTATTACATTTCTATGAAAGAATGTATTTTGTTAATAACAGAACACGACACATATTTTGACAGTCTCCTGTTCGACATTTAATTAAAAATTAATTTGTTCTTCTTGAAAACTGTTTCCTCATTTCGAAACAATGAACTACAGAAGAAACGTCTTTGTCGAACACATATCATAGTACTACAGTTTGAAATCAAAATACAATATCTAAGAAAGATGTTCTTATTTCTTTTAAAAACGTAATTTTTATGATACTTTGACATTTGTGAGCCGTAATATGATAGTCTATTAATTAAATTAGTATCTATACGTATGAGTGAATTGCTACAATAGTTCGCTCGTAATTACAAAGCAAGTATAAATCGGCTAGCACATATGTTGCAGTCTGGAATGTTGAAATTTATGTTGGTATCATTTCTCATGAATTTCCAAATAGTGAACAGTTTTTATCTATGATGCAATAGATGCTTACAAATACATAAGACGATAAATCCGTTAATATTACACACTTTCATCTGAAAACAATGTTCTGAACTTTTCTAACTGGTTAGAGATCGTGGTTTTTTTTATTAAAGATTTGCATAATACTTTCTTTTTTCTGATTGCATTACTTGTTAAATCAGTCGTACGAAAATCCATCGCTTGAACATATTCGACCTGAATAAATAAATGAATCATTCGGCTTTTCTCGTCTTAATCGATATAACTATTAGATACAAGGAGATTTTCTCTTGTTTTCACTAATTGTTTCAACAGTAAATGTTGTACATATTATTTAAAATTTACCATGCTCATCTATTCTCACAAGTATATGTTACTATTATCAATAGACCAGAAGTCATCATCAAGTATTTCTATAACTAATAAATCAATATAGTTGCACTCTGGGAATAACGAGTGAAAGCATTTATTACGTTTCGATTCTAATATAATAAAATTCAATAACTTCAGTAAATTTCATTATATCTTTATCATCGTTTTCAAGTTTAATGCCTCTAGCAAGTCTTGACTTCTACTAAGTACTATTAAGGAGAAAACAACTTGACATATCCAGTTGTTTTTGTTACCTACTGTTAAAATTTCCCCTTTTAATTTTGAAAGACTGATTTATTAGAAAAAAACAATCTGTTTTTTCTTCTAATAAATACAATGTTTGACCATTCCATCAAAATGTTTCTTATAATTATTGCTTGATCGTCTGCCAGGAGAGATTCAATAGTTAATCCAAAAGCAAACAACTTACCATAGAATGGAAACTAGTGAAACAGAGATAAATATCTTGAAATATGCTGAAAAATGTTGCAGAATTTCTTGTTACTCAAATATTGCAACGAAACTATCTATTCTATTAAATCTTTATTTCGCTTATCATGCTAGAATGTCAGATTTAATAGCTTCGATTATTTAATGAGATCAGTGTGATCAATCATCATTTTTAAAAAAATCAACTTTACAAGAATTTAGCTTCATGATACATGTATCAAGTGAGTTTATAACGTATACATATAATGCTTCGTAATTAAAATCAAAACAGATATACTATTCAATTTTTTAGGTCAAATTTATCGAATACTCAGTCGACATTGTATTTTGAAGTGCATAAACAATTTTCTATGTATAATTTCAAGTACTTTTTTTATCGAAATTAACAAGCCTTTTGCATTTCGGCAGGAGACCTATCGTGGAAAAAAATTCATATTCACGCATTTACACCAGTTTTGAATGATTTCCATTCATCTCAAACATGGGAGTAGTAGTCGCGAAGAGTTATTCTTGTTTGTCTCGTCAGTAAAACGTAGTATCTCCAATCATACCACTGATGTGGCAATCCACCTATAGATCTTCAGCGTAGACCATCATCCTCAAATACTTAACGTTGGTTAGAGAGAAATTGACAATAGATGATGACGAACAATCATTTAAAACAGTAGCTCTTAATTTCTAATAATCTAATAGAAATAAGTTATTTCAGATAACTCATATTGAGAAAGTCACAATGAATTGGACTACACGTATTTACATTAAAATTCATTAAATCTTATCTTCTACTTAGAAGTGAAAAACATCCTGGATAATAATTTAGGAGAAAATCCTCAAACAATGCAGTTTTTTCCACGACGCATACAGTTCAGCTACACAATCCTAGTTGAAGCATTAAAAAATGCAGTTTCGTTGTCGACAAGACTATCTGATTGATAAACCATATACAAACACGTTTTCATCAAAATTAAAAAATTCGAAGACATTCTTAAATGGATGTAAAATTTCGTTTTCTTTCTGTTTACTGTGTTTGACACTTTTAATTGCCGATGTAACAATTTTTTTATATTCTGTGATAAGTTTCTCTCTAAAAGTAATTATACCCAATCACTCTATGTGTTAATTGTTTGAAAATTTTAAAAGCTCGCTGTAAAAGCACAGTGCATAATGTTGTACAGTTTATGATTCGTCATCTTCTGATGTATCAGTGAATACTAAATCATAGGCAACTTGTATTTGAAATTAATTCGATACACTATAATCCAGTGGCTAGTAATTATTTAATACAGTTAATATTTATTAAGTTGAACAAGTACAATATAGTCTAGTATGTGCGCAATTAAAATGAGACGAAACTAAGGATATTTTCTTGATAAAATATGATTTCTTTTTTTAATAGTTTATGATCAAATATACTATGGATAGTTTCTATTCATAAAACAAAGATAAATCAATTAGAACGTTTGAAATTATTTTCAAAAAAAGAAAAGGAAATGACTATATATTACGTTTTATTCATACAATCATCATATTCACTTACTAATGAGTATATATATATCATTGGTGTACAAAAAAATCGAATAAAAAATGCGACGTTGAAAGTGAAAAGGTGATAGCTGTAAACAAGCGAACCGTGAAAATATAAAAATTACAACCATGTAGCCTATGTCATATGATATCAACTCATTTTTTCTTACGGTTTTTTTCTTTGATGATATAGCGAAAGATGGCTAGAGCTTTTCTTATCAATGTACCGACTTTACCTGAATTAATAATTGACAATAGCAAGTCCAGTATGTCAGCCAATGCTCGCCAAACTTCAATATTTGGAAAACAATTTCAAAATCAATCAAACATCGGACGTGATGTAAACGAATTAGATAACGATTCTACATCAATTAATTCTAGCTCATCTGCGTATTCCGATAACGATGAGGGTGAAGACGATGACAATGACAATACCATTATTTCCTCAAGAAAAAACCTACGTATGAACAGTCGACATGATCAAATTAAAACAAATCTCATGTTAGAAAGCGACGCAGCAGAATTTTTCGCATTTTCACCATTCGTAGATCCTCCAGTAGTAATTAATAACAATAATACTAATTCAAATACAATGAATAAATTAATGAAAAAACCTCATAAAATACGTATGGCATTAAAAAAAAAGTTTCAGCGATCTAACTCAAGTACTTCTGAAGATGATGTTTATCGATCGAGTCAAATTTTAGGAAGAGTTTTATTTACAAAGGGAAAAGATGAACCAGAGATAACAGTTGACCATTATCAAGTTGGTCAAGAAAAAACAGATGATTCTTTATCAAATATATCCGAACATCGTGTTACTAGTTTACCTCATTTATCATTTGAGAAACGTACACTAGCAAAAATTGATAACATTAAAATGGAACATTTGCTAGAATCACCAAATGGTCATAATCATGATAAGAAAAAATTTTCTTATCCATATACAGATATAGTGAAACCACATGATTTCGATTTACTTCATGTTAAGAAAATAGTTCCAACAGAAACTCTTCTCATACAACATAAACCATTTCGACATAAAAAAATTCAATATCGAACTCAACGTGGTTTAACAAAAATAGGAAAAGAGGTACATGAACTTAAACAAAGTATTACGGGCAAAAGTTCGAAGCTATCCGCGATAGAATCATCTCCATTGGATGGAGAAAATTATCAAAGTCGGTTAATAAAAAATCTACTGGGTGCTCGTAGAGAAATAGCTGCATATGATCGAACGAATTCATTAACAAATGATTGTCAAGATGATAATGATGAAATTAATAACAAACTAAAGGAAATTGATGTAAACTTAATAGCACAAATAGAAGAGCATCAAACAAAATCAATATCATGTGTAAGATTTATTGTTTCCTCTGTAGATATTAATTTAGTATAACAGAATATGAAATATTTACTCATAGTTATCACATATCATTTTTTGAAAAGAAACTGAGGATATAGCTCATGATCAATGAAAGATTTAAGTGTGATCTATTGAGGCAATTAGAGATTTCCTTCGAATTTTTTTGATTTACCTAATTAGTAGAAAAATTCCCAGAAATCAAGTCGATATGATTTTTCATTGAGATTCAGAACATGTTCCATCATCATGATTACTTTACATTACCAAAACCCTCGACCCATCATTGTGATTAATTAAAAAAGATATGAAACTTCTTTCTTCGAGGAGAAAAAAGGAAAAGATTTATCAAAACTGAGAATAATTCCAACTCATCCCTGGCTGAATAGCCATGTGCACAAACAACATATGGTTTGAATGCTTTTCTGCTCTACTCACCAATTATCGTGTGAATCATTGATAAAATTGTATTCAGTTTGATTAATTAAACTTTAAGTAGTTCATAGATGAATGCCTGAAATAATAGTTCTCTTGCACGAAACACTACGTGTTGTGGAAAACAGCATGTCTGAAAATTCACTGACTCAAAAATAAAATTGTTTACTGGCAGCCTTTTCTAATTGAATCAGTTAGGTTTTTCTTCTAAACATTTCTCATAGATAAATGTTCTTCTTACACTATCTATTGGAAATTTGTAAACAGAAAACGATAACTTTTTTAATGTGATTCAAAGTCTTTGTTTTCTTAAAATTTCCTTTATTTATTAAATTTTTGCTTTATTTACCTAACTTTGTTTGAGCACTGCGTTGGGTACTCAATCACTAAAATTCAAAGGCATTAAGAAACTTTTTAAAATATCATATCTTTTACGAATTTGTGAAATTTGTTTCTCATTTAGGTACATGATAAAAAAAAGAGGAGAAAACAATTAATATCTGCGCCATTTATTGAACGTCAAGCACGACATCTTGTCAATATTAGAGAAAAAGAGAATATTAATCTTTATGTTGATTCACGTTTTAATCCTGCAAAATTTATTGATCTAGATGAAGAAGCTAAACGTTTTTTTGGTACCAATATTCCATTCACGGATCAATCACCGAATCCAAAGTCTTCGTTATTATCACCATGTTTAAGTCAGCAATCAAGTGACGAAGAATTACCACCTGCGATAGAAGTTTCGGCTGGTTTAATTGTTACTGATGAAATCAAACCAAAAGATATTCAAGTTCTTGTGTCCATAGAATCTGAAAATTATGATAATGACTTATGCTATCAGACTAATCAAGAAGGGGACGATGCATTTTTTGATTGTGTTTCTACTTTATCTGAGCAAACAGAATTGCAATTATTACCATTTTCAAATAATGAACAAGCAATCATCTCTCTTGATGAATGTGAAAGTGTAGAATTTTAAAAAGAAATTTAAAAGAAGCTCGTTATAAAAGCTTCATTAACTTAAAATAATCAATTACTTCTTATCCTTTATGAATTACAAATAAATATTATGCTTATTCAAGAATTCGAATTTATTTTTGAAAAATATTTAAAAAATGATTTGTTAACTCGTAAATCAATGCAATAAAATACAATCTCTACATATAAAACCATGGAGTCCATGGATAAAAATGAAAAAAGCATTAGACTTAACGTAAACTTCTTCATTACACTTTCTCTCGAGCTAAAATGCGAAGCTAGTATATGCTGTTTATCCTCATCATAGTCATACAGAATATGTATAGTAATTAATATCTAGCAGATCATAGTTGTATTTGAAAGATAGTCAATCAATTGGCAAAGTCTAATTAATTTTCTTCTGCATGTTGAACTGATTTCATTTTTACGGAATACTCTCTCTTCTAATCTACTTATTGCTATTCGCAAAATACTGTTCATGCTACTGCTGTGTTTTCTTATTTTGACGTAACTATTACTCTAACCTTTGATTTAACTGGCCAATAAATTTGTTCCACACCCTAAAATTGAGTCAAATTTTAAATTTGACTGAAACTTCTGGAAAAATTCTAATTTTATTCACAACATATATGAATTGATACGGCCAAAAGCTTTGTTATTGATTATTCTGCAAAGTTAAACCTTAAGCCATTCACGCTTTTATATGGCTCGGAAGCTATTTCGTTCTTGATCTCTTGAGCATGAACTTTTCTCAATGGAAGCCTCAAAAGATTCGCTAGTTAGATCGTTGACAATTGTTGGTACTGTTCGCTAGTTTTTTTCTCAGTTGCTGAGAATCTTAGAATTGAAAAGCATAGAAGGTCTCAATATAAAAATTGGCTCAGGATTTTCGTCGAAACTAATTGTATGCAACATAATTCTGCATAAGCAAAATTTTCAATCAAAAATCAATGAGCAATCATCGTTCAAAAATGTAAGCAGCTATGCTCCTTTTCAATTGCTCCTGCAGCATTACCTTAATCACAAATGAAAACATTAAGGCTAAGTAAATTTAAAAAACGAAGTATTAGCCAATGTAATGACACAAGAAAAATGAAGCTTTATTATTCGATTCCTCAAAATCAATAGAAACTAATCCGTCTATAGTGATGAATTTGAACGAAAAATCATTCATTTTTTATCGGATCAAAAAGAAAATCTGGATTTTTTTCTCACACAATATCATATTGTTAATGTAAATTACGAGCGCAGTCTTTAAAATCAAGCTATTTTTCATAATGCTTTCGTTCTTTTGAAATGTAAACAGTCAAAAAACGACCTAAAATCAACATTGATACAAATATTAACATGTTAAAGCAGTTCAAATCGATGTTTTAATAATATCAATTAAATCTTTTATTAGAGCAACAATTGTAAATATAAAATTAGAAATATAACCAAATTAACATAGTATTAAAAAAAGCTCAAGCGTATAGCACATTAAACTGACATAGAAAAAATAATATTTTTAAATGATATTCAACAGAATTAAATAACGAGAGAAAAAAATAATCGACGAGTGTTCGTCTTAAAAATATAGTGAATCAAAAAAAAAATTCCTTTATATTTTTCTTTATGATATAGAGCTATTGTTTTAAATATTCATTTTGAATTTCTTCATCAAAAAGAAAAATAGGCTACTTAATCCAAGAAACTACTGGTGTACCTTCTGAAGAATTCAGCGTATGATATACTCGATGAATCATCAAAATATTGTCACTTTTGATGATGTGATATTCTCTTGAGTAAAAGCATAGATGCAAATAAATTAGTATAACTCAGATCGAATGTCATCAGAATCGAAATTCGAAATATTTCATTGATCCTTATCCAGAGATTCAGTTTTATTCAAGTACAGTATAAATCATATTTATCTTTTAGTTCTGATAAAATTCAGCTAATCAATTCGCTTTTGACATACATATATCGACAGCACTGATATAGTAAAAATAGTGTATTTTGTCAAGTAATTTAGCAGTAATATTTAAAAAGTGTTTGTGCTTTGAATGATTTTAATTATTAAATTCTATTAAAGAAAAACTAACATTGTGAAAGATCTTGATCGATTGTGGACATAATCATAATTGCCAATGTTCGAGATTCGTTTCATTACTCTTCGACGCCTCGTTCTGTCTTTCTTTTTCTCTTTTGTTTGGTTTTTATTTCTTTCGCCTTTCTTTCATCCACTTTAGCTTTTTTATCACCATATGTACACTTTCTCGTTTTTTTTGTCGTTTGATTTGATGTCTTCTTCTACATCCATAGTCTTTGTCGCCCCTATTATTTACAGACGATAGGGTGGCTATACAAGTAAACAGGAAAAATGCTCCGTTGTTATACTCGATATACAGATAACAATATATATTGCAATCGAAAAAGTATTTTATTGTGTCAGTCGTCTATTTACATATGTGTATGCATTGAATGACATCACATATGCTTCACAGCAAGTTCAAATCGTTGTGATAGTGATCATCTGATCTCCTTTAAAAAAAAGCGAATGAATTGTTTGATTTTGTATATGTGTATGTTTGAGTCTTTTCTTTGTAAAGAGAGAAAGAGCAAGCAAGGTTCTAATATAATGTCAATGTATAGACACGTCATCCGATGACATTAGTCATTTGCTTGCATTTAAAATCGATGTGTTGTAATGAGATGAATTAGGACTATTTATTGGGTAAGTATATAACATACATTACCTTTCGAAAAGTATTTATTTTATGATCGATTATGATAAAAAAAATTTCTTATCAATTAAATTAAATCATAGTTCTTTTTTTCTCTCTTATCGTCCAATATAAATTTAAACTAGTAAAATGAGTGTGTGCACCAGCAACGGATGACAAGTTCTCAAATAACTCACTCATGCTTTTTTTTGTCGCTCTTCATTCGTTTGATAAAAGTAATTATTGGCACAACAAACTTTTGATAAAAAATAAACAAAGAGTGAGGATTTATAGAATATGCGCGTGCGCTCTTATATATTCGAAATTTGATCATAGTCGTCATCAACGGATTACACTTCTCTTCATCATTCATGTTCTTAACTCAAAATATTTAAATGACGACGACGATGAAGGAGAAAGAGGGAGTAAACACGCATAAGCACACACAGGAGAGACGCCATCTGCCTTTTTCAAACAGCATCAGCACAAAGAGAGCAAGAGAGAACAATTTACACAAAGCTTTATCAAACAGAGAGAAGAAAAAAGTGGATATTTCTATAAAAATCTTGTTGAATTGGTAAAAGAATAAAAAAATGAGAACGAGAGAATAAGAGGAAGAGAGATATCGCTCTGTTCTATATGTATTCGATTGAAGTGACAATAATACCGAGTAAGAAAAAAGTCGACGGCAATATTCGTTTAGTAGATAGTTGACATAGGTATGTTATTTAAAAAAATTTTCCGTCCGGTTTTTTTTCAAGCTGAACTATTTCAATGAGTATTTTCTTACTAGAGTTTTTAATGGAAAAAAAGAAACGAAGAGGATATAGTATTGGATAATATTTGCACACGCACAATATATAAGTTACTAGAAGTAAACAGTACCTGATGGTGCTGCTTTTCTGTATATGAAAAACCTATGTTGTTTTATCACGATTTATAAATAAATACCAAGAATTATTTTCCTCTCTACGTGTGGTGTTGTTTTTCAAAGAAGAAAAACTAAATTTTATAAATATTTATAAATCTGATTCTATTATGTAAACATCTGTCAAGTTCATTGAAACATTATTGTCTATGAAAGTTTATTTACTCATTGTTATTGCTTATCCTATTGCTTTTGTTCTTCTTCGTCACCTAATTCGTATTAATTCAAAGGTAAAACATTTCGTTAGATGATGTTTATTAGCAATTGTTCAATATTTACTTATGTAAACATTGACAGATTTGTCTATATCACATAGATATCGTTTAAAAAAGTTTGTTCTCTTTCTCGTTCTCTGAAATATATTTGCGATTCACAATTTTACATGCACTCAAATAGATCTATAGCTACATAGAAAAGTGGAGAAGTAAACCAGTATATTTTTGTAATGTATATCGATAGAAACGAGTAAGAGTCTCAATTTTAAGTAGGAAAAAAAGAAGAAAGAGAAGAAAGCGTCAGGTCTTGTTTGCTAAACTGAGTAAACAAAACAGGCGCATGAGTATAATAAAAAATAAAATACGGTTGTATACAGAGTAGCAGCGGTAGTAGATTATAATCGTATAAGAAAAACAGACGAAGGCGAAGAATATACGATGTTTCTCTGCCATAGTTTGTATGCATTTAAATTAGTCATTAATAGAAATTCGTTATATTCTAGATTATCATGATAAATCAAAGTATAACAGACGATGAAGATGCAAATGATCATGGTAATGAAGTACTTGATTTAAGTATAAAAAAAAGTTTACTTGTATTACTTTCACCACCATCGTCAACAACATCTTCATCCTCGTCATCCTCATATTCTGCATCATCAGTTATTTCATCGCAACAAACTATTTTAACTGGTAAACGAATGTTAGATTTACATACATCTATTTCCTCATCACCAATAACAACTAAAGGTCAACAAACAAATAAACGACCACTACGTTTTCAATGTAAACATTGTGATTATAAAGCACCATCAACATCATTGATGCAAAATCATATCTATCGTCATACGGATTTAACACCATATGCATGTGCATATTGTGGTCATAAATCGACGACAAAATCAACAATTATGGTACATATTGAACTTTGCCATCCGAATATGGAGGTTAAAATTATTGAAAATCGTGTTCGTGAACAAGATTTTTATCGTGATTTAAATAGTTCAGACATGTCAGCATTATCAAATAAAATGCAAGAACCACAAATAAAAAAACAACGTCATTCAAATCAGTATGACAGTGAATCAGCGCCCATTAATGGTGTAGCTATATCATTGAAAACAATAATTGATGATGGAAATCAATTATCACCAGCGAGTGATGAAATATACGGCGCAGATAATTTTGAATCTATGCTTTTACCAACATCGGATATTCTAGATGATGACAATGAACAATTAACAAGATCAAGTATTTGTGAATCATCACCCACACTCAAATTCAAATTATCACCATCATCTACTCCTACAATTGAATCTTCATCTAAAACTTATAAAAAAGAATCTGACTCTGACGGTTAGAATTTTAAAGAATTGCAAAATTTATTCCATGTGTATATGATTATCTTTAGATGAGTCAGAATATCTTCTTGTCTACAATCGTCCTAAACAGTATTTTGGTTCATTATACGAGCCTGATAAACAGTAAGTAAAAGTTTTCTTATAAATATCTTCATTATCAAAACACTTTATTAAATAAACAGGTATGCATGTACATTATGTACATATACAACAAACCATCGACCAAGTATGGAAGATCACGTATATGTACATACCAATGAAAAACCATACAAGTGAGTTACTTTGATCTTTTCAGTCGATTGACTATCGTTTTGTTCTTGAGTTTATTCCTTAGAATAAATACAAATATCCGGCTCCATTTATTCATTTATTAGTTATGTTTTATAAAAAAATATTGTTTGATCTTACAAAGGAAATCATTATGTACATATAGCTAAAGATAAACATAAATGACACGTGTATGTGAAATTCTCTTGTAAAGATCAATATTTTTTATGAAACAAACTTCGCATATTGGGATATTCCGCCCTTTTGTATCCCACTCTCATGTTTGATTTATCGAAAATTGCACCAGGCATTTATTCAGAAGAGCAGTTAATTCTTTAAGTGAAATTTACTTGCAATTTCATTAGATAAAGACCTTCTTTTTGTGGACGACTTTCCAAAATTCTTTTTTTATTGAATAAAATACTATTTACCCCTACTTAACCCATTCATTTATATTTTTATTGTATCCTAGTTTATAATGATAATTAGTCGAGAAAAACGAAGCGTTCAAATTCTTTTACATGGATATCATGTGAATTCCTGTTTCAGTTACATGTAATTCTGATTACTGATTTATAAACATAAAGTTTAAACATTTCAATGATTGTAGTATCGTTCAAGTCATGTAGAAAAAAAATTACCTTAATCCTTCGAGGGAGAATTGATTTCAAATAAATTAATTTTTCAACAGGATAATGAGATCTAATTTATTACATTCTCAAACTAATTTATAGGATATGAGTTGATCTTTTTCAATGATTGAGTATGGTAAATATTTAGCGTTTGTATTTATTCTTTGAAAATGTATTGATCAAGACTGCCAAGAAATTATGTAAATAGAATTTGTTTTTATGTCAGACCTGCCGTGGTGTCTTGATATTATTTCAGTTTTTTATTTGCTGCAACTGAGAATTTATCTGCAGAGATTTTTCTTATGGGATCATATCGTCCATCCTATGAAGCGATCGCTAAAACTTATTTTTAGACAATGATTGATAGTAGAATCGTAATTAGACTACCTATTATTTCTCTAAGGCTGACTAATTATAACTTACTTCAAGACCTTGATCAAAAGAATTGAATTTCAATAAATCAACATTGAATAAGTGCAAGATAGCAGCTAATCTTTTTGTGTGATGTTGTTTAACGATAAGAGTGGCCTACACATTATTTATTTGCTTTTATTTTCATTCAAAATAAATCTACTAGTGAAGTTTGTTTACATCTAAAATTCCAATGTCTTAAAAATAACGAAAAAATTATTTACAACTCAGCAGTCAAATTATCGAAGTAATTCGTAAATAGTGAAACTATCCAAAGATGAGAATATCTCCACCTTTTCAGCTGATTTTTAAGTCTATCATTCTGTGGACGTTAGATTAATTGTATAAATTGTAGACAATCTTTTAGACTAATAACAAGACGTGAACATGATTACCATGATATTAAAATTAGCGTCGAAACTCGTAGTATTCTGTCAGGTGATACAATGTTCACATATCATGCACGTACGAAAAGTTAATGTTAAGCATCCAAAATTTCACTAGAAAATGTCTATTATTTTAGAAAGTCAAATAAAAAGGATTCAAAACTAATTACTTCTTATAGAGAACACAACTTATATGATGTAACTAATGATTTAATCTTTTCGCGAGATAATACGAGAAAACCATGATTTGATCGGTTCTGCTTGTATTATTTTAGATGCGGCTATTGTGGCGAGGAAATTTATACACGTTACGCTGCTACGTATCATATTAAATATAAACATACTGGCATGGCACGTAACTTCATTCAAAACAAAGCTGATATCACTAAGTATTATATTAATCGTGCTAAACGAGACGATGAAAAGAATCAATTTAAATTGGTTGATACTCGTCGTGTCAAAATCCCTTCACGTAATGGAAAATCAGTACAAAATCAACAGAATAAAATAGATATTCCAACAGAACATTCTATGCAACGTGAACGATCGACTTCTCCTCCTCATCCTCCTCCTCCTCCACCAGCCCCTGCTCCATCAGTAAAATTAGCCCAACCAGCCAACTTACAATTGTCTACTATTTCATCTAACAATCCACGAGAGACTGCCTCAACAGATTATCGATTTCTATTAGCATGGTCGTATTATTTAGCATCGCAAGCTGCTTGGCTTTCACCTACACTTCAACAACAAGGTCAATCATCATTTTCGTTACCTACTGATCCTGAATCAGCTGCCAAATTTCTTCAAACTATTGAAACAGCAATGAATCCTTTAGCAGCCAAACAAACGTTGAACAATAATCATGAACAAACGAGAAATCAACATGACTTTGGAACAAAGAATACATCTGCTGTTGTTAAAGATGAACTCAATGAATCGTAGCGTATTTTCTAATAACATAGACCGGTGATAAATCATCTAATTTTGTGCTTTATTCATCCATCTATACACGCAATGTGTTTTCTGCTTTTAATTCCACTTCTTCTAGATTTTTTGACAACTATTTATGCATTGATTTTTTTTTCGTCTTGAACATTATTTCGATGTTGTTCGCTTATCAAATTCAAAACATGATAGAAAAAAGTACTGTGGCGAATATCAGTGTATGTTTATTTCTTGTTTTCTTTTCTGGAAATGAATAAAAATAAATTTTATCAAAAGTACTTATTTGTTAAATGAATTAGCCTTCACATCATAAAGGTCTATTACACAGTTTTGTTCAAATCTTTCCGCATGATATTATCTTCAAATTATTGTCTTCTTTGAGATTTATGCAAATCAAAACTTATACAATAAATATAAAGGATGGAAAGCAGAGATGTATTGTTTTATACCTATCATCATAGAATAAAAATAAAGAGCGGGAACAAATTACGCTATAAATTAATAAGAATGCTTTTTAAGTTTATCGAATTGTTCAAGAATGTCATCAGGTAGTAGAAAAAGTACTACGTAAGCACAAAGAACTATTTTACTGGTTCTTTAAAAAATGCACTGATATTTTCAAAAGTAATTATATTTGGTCTTGCACTTGTACTCATTGTCACACATGAATTGTGTACTTACAATTTTTGTTTAATGAGTAAATGTAAATGTCATCTTTGAAAATTGACTTATTACATCTGATAAAGTTCCCACGACCAGCCAGGTATTAGCTGATCAAAAAATAAATAAGAATAAAGGCATTTCGCTGAAATATTGTTTTATCTCTCATATTCTGTTAAATGTCATTACTAGCTACAAGGCACGTCTGAAATTGATCAACTTTTATCATTTTCTATACTATCATAAATGAAAATAGAGATGTTGACGATAATACATAGAATCTAAGTAATTTTAGATCCATCTTATACAAATCAGAATAGATTAATTGTTTGCTATCTTTTCAATTCATTGATACGATTCCTTTGAATACCTCCTGAGAAAATTCTTTGATCCATTGCTGATTGAAATGCTCGTGTCAAGAGCTTTTGTAAGAAAAGAAAATAAGCTTCATAAACGTAAACTGCATATAAGTGTATTTATCATCTTTATCAATGATATAAACATGCTTTTAGTTGAATTCAACTTCAAGAGTCTCATAACACACGAATATTGTGTAAATAATGTTATCAAAATAATGTCAACAAAGGCCGAAAAAATTATTTAAAACGTCGTTTATAAAGCGAAGGTAAAAAACAGATTTAAATGCGTTTGTATTAGAAGTTATAGCAGTTTTCTTCGTACGAGAATGCAATGTATCAGATCCATCGTTGGCTTTGTAGGTTTTACTATCATTAGTTTATTGTTGATTAGTAAAAGTGAATCAACACCGTTAGATGATTATGTTCATGCAGCTGATCCAAATTTTGGCTGGACTGTAATTCGAACTTATGAAGAACCTGATTATATTCTATACATTTTGAATTTTACATCACAAAAATGGTTCGATGGTAAGGCATTTTGTAGTGACTTCATAAATAAATATATATTTCTGTGGCCATTTTGGTTTCTCTCTATAGAAACAGTTACGAATCAACCTATTTGGTGGCACTATTTATGTATTTCAGTTCCACATAAATTTACAAGACCAAATACTGCCTTTATGTTTATCGATGGTGGACATAACAGTGACGGGTAAGTTTAGTTAATATTAATTCAAAATATAAAAACTTTCATTTGATTTTAGCATGCCTAAACCACAAGATAATTTGCTTTCTTTAACGTCAATGTTTGCTGCTAGCTCTGGAAGCTTAGGCATTCATTTACAAGATATACCGAATCAACCATTTCGTTTTCTAGTAATTTTTCTTGATTATTCGATTTTCAATAAAAATCATTCACTCGTATTTCTCAGGCAGATCCATCGAATAGAAGCCGTAGTGAAGATGCTCTTATTGCATGGACATGGAAAGCATTTCTTGAAAATCCAAGTAATCCCTATATACTTCTTCGTATGCCAATGACGAAAGTACACAGTGTTGTTGTTTTTTCTTAAATTAAGTATTCGTTTTCTTTACATTCATTATAGGCATCGGTTCGTGCTATGGATGCCGTAGAGCAATTCGCGGCAAAATTAGGCGCACCTGTGCCAAAAAATTTTGTTATTGCTGGTGCTTCAAAAGTAATTGAATTTTTTATGATTTATTGCATCATCATCATCATAGTCTATTTTCTAAATTGTAGCGCGGATGGACAAGTAAATTGCTTTTATTTATTCTATTTGTTATCTCCTATTTGATAAAAATGTTTAGCTTGGACAACGGCGGCCGTTGATAATCAGAGAGTTATTGCAGCAGTACCAATAGTTATGGATATACTCAATCTTCAAAAAGTAAATATTTTATTAAACTATTGAGTCATATTGAGATAAATTTTCTTCCAAAGTATAAACTAAACTGAGTTAAAAATATATAGAGAGAGAGGACAGAAATTTGCACTGTCAACAAGTCGTGACAGGTGTTATTGATATATGTAACATCAAAAACCGCTATAGCTAGTAACAATATTTTGTTAGAATATAAAATTTAGCTTCTTATTGCATTTCTCAACTATTAATTCCATAAATATCGCAATAGCAACTTCTGTTTTTGTTTTATTTTCGTTGTAGAATATGCATCATCATTATCGAGTAAGTGTAATAAATGAATAATAAATGAAATACATTATCTTGATCTTGTTCGATAGTCTTTAGCTGGCTGGACTTTTGCGTTTAATGATTATTATGACTTAAATATTACTCAAGATGTTGATAATCCAAACTTGAATAAGATGGGAGACATAGTCGATCCGTATAGTAAACTCTTATAAATGAAATGTCTATTTTGATATGCATACTTTCATGTATACAGGCTATTTCGACCGATACAGAAACATGAAACTATTACAGATACAAACTGGTGGCGACGAATTTTTTCTACCAGACAATGAAGTACAATAATTTCTTTAAAAAATGTTAATAATTATTTTATTGCATTGAACTATTTCTAGGATGCATTTTGGGCTGATTTACAAGCAGCTACTGGTGGTTCATTTATAAGGTAATTTCAATCTTTTGAATTTATTTTCCATTTTTTTTTTATACAATTCAATAGACGAATACCTAATGCTGAACACTCATGTGCTGGTCATGAAGTTAGTCTCTTTTTTACAATGCGAAGTTTCTATTTAAGTATTTATGAGGTAAGTCGATTCTTGATGATTTTTTTAAAATTCATTTACTTTCATTTTACTTCAAGAATCAACCACTACCTTCATTCAAATGGACAAAAACATCAAACAATACACATGGTTATATACGTGCTGTAGTTGATTTCAGTGTCGGTCCTAAACCATTCAGTGTTCTGGGCTATCATGCTCGTACCCTTAATGATAAGCGGTATATAGACAAATAAAACTTATCTTAAACTCATCAATAGTCTTCCTATCTATCTAATAGACGTGATTTTCGCTTGGTCATTGCTGATCCAAATCATCCAGGCAAAGCTATAGCAAATCCTGTCATTTGGTTGAAAACTGATGTTGTAATCGAAGTAAAAATATACTCATTTTATACTGTATTTTATTATTTTGATATATGTATTTGTCAAAAATTATTTAGACACAAACTGCTACAACCGTTGTTTATTCACTCACTATTGCAAATCCATTGAATGGTTGGGAAGCATTCTTTATTCAAGTAGCTTTTCCTGGTCCAGACGGTTCAGCACTTGAACTTACAACAAATACACAAATTATTCCGGATACATATCCAACTAATGATTGCTATGGTGCTGGTTGTATTGGTACACTAGTTTGATTTTTTTTCTTGTATCTATTTAAACTTGCAATTATAATAAATGAAATTGATAAAATGTCACGATTCTTCATAGTTTAAGTACATCTTTCGATTATTTTATTCACGAAAGACAATAAATATGATAGAATCTATATGAACTAGAAAAAAATGAAGCATACATATAAAAATGTATTTCTCATATCAAAGATTCGTATCAGCCTTTTGTACTTATTCTATGAGAATAGCTGATAATGAACACAATTGATATTTTCGATGTTTTTCGCATGTAAATAAATGGATTAAAAGAAACGAAAGCAACAACAAAAAAAACAATTTCACTTGAATTGATGATTCATTTCATATTTGATCAAATCTACAAAATGAACTTATTCTATGATAGATTAATTTATTCCTAGATAATAATCATTCAATTAAAACCTATTCATCTAAGCCATGACAATTGTAGAAGATTATTTAACTTTGGACGACGATATCCAATCCTATTTAAACATTGTCGCATGGTACGATATGCTTGTTCGTCTGTCGAACTCGTAAATAGTAGCTGTGAGCAATCATTAATAATATCCGCTTTTGAGCGAAATGGATATTGTTGAAAAAGTAGAAAATAAAGAGAAATACCTAATGTCCATACACATGCTTGTTCACCATTGTGACGTTTTTCTAATATCCATTCAGGTACCATAATTTCTAATGTACCCTTGACGAAGAGAAAGAGTGCCATTAAATGTTGACTAAACTCTGCAACATACCTGAAATTCATGGAAATCTTCTCATTGTACAGGTACAGCTGAACCAAAATCAATAAAACGTAATGAACGATCAGTTTTACAATAGATTATATTTTCAGGTTTCCAATCACGATGCCAAACACCATAATTTTGTAATGTAATATTAATACGTATTATTTCTTGAAATAGATGTCTTAATAATTCTGTACTATTTAATGAAGAGTTTTCCATAAAAAAATGGAAAAGTGTACATGAATTAGCAATTTTTTCCATTGTGAATATAAAACGATCTGGTTCTTCAAAATGTTCAAATATGCATATAATACCAGATATACCACGGAGGCGCCAAAGTATTTCAACTTCATATGGTACACGTTTCTATATAAAAAAAGATAACATATTCATTTCGTTTTGTTATTCTTAATAGCTGGGATTACATCCGCCTTGAAATGTTCCCCCAATTGATTATACGATTTCTTGATAAGATTTTCACAACAACTGAACTATTGTTTGGTCGCTGTCGTCCATCATAGGCTTGACCAAACCGCCTTTACCTAGACAACTTAATAGTTGATATTCGCGATTAAATGCTTTTGGCATTCGATTTTGTGTCAATAATGAAATATTAATACGTGATGCTCGATTGAAATGAAAATTATAATAACCAAGTAAACTATAACCATTAAATGTTGGTGACTATGTGTAAGAAAAAGGTAATAGTAGAACCGAATTTAAAAAGATAAACATTGATATTCTTACTAATCGAACAACAACTGGATAAATATAATCCATAAATGAATTCAGAGGAGAATTATTATTACTGTCAATAAATTGTGGTGGCGGTGACAAAAACCATAGCATCGGCTTTTCTAACCGTGGTTTTTCAAGTCCCCATTCTATCATATCTATGATGTTGACAAAAAACAGATCTGTGATTTTTTTTCAAAGCCACCAACAAGAAAAAAAATTCTCAATAATATAGTTGTTTCAACTATGATCGAATATCGTTCTATTAAATTAGAGAGCTTCAAATGTACTACTTTTTGTAGAAGAAGATAGGCCACCTATAATCTTTTTAAATAAAATGAAACAATATGAACTCTATACCCTACTATATACATCTATTTACGCTTCAATGAACCATACGTAAGTGTCGCTTCGCTTAATTATATTCAATACCATTTATAAATATATATATATGTATGTGAATGTGAATGTATATACAAAGGTATTGATGTTAGTAAAATTCTGCTTTCTCACTTTTTTTTTCTTTATTTCATCAAACAGACCAATTCATTTTATTTAAAGAAACCTCTTCTAATCATTGACCATTCAAATAGTTTCTATTCTTACTGACATTGAACTTGTGCTTTCGTCGTTTATGTGATCAATGAGCAAAGCATAGCGTCTATATTGATAAACATCTATCTGTTTTGTGCAATCATTTTCTTCTTTCTTTTTCATGCATCCTTTTAAACTATTCAACCCGTTTCGATTAGATAGATAACGTTTCCCATTGGAGATAAGCATGTAACAATGCAGTCATGCGAATCGCTGGTATCTATCATATAATTTTTCGTCTAGCTCAATATCGTCGACAACAAGTAAGAAGAAATGAAACATGGAAATCAACGTCAGTAAATATCACATGGTAATCGTGTGTGAATAGTAAAATATCATTCAGTCGAATGTACCGTTAAGGAGATCACTTAATTATTATCAGTAACATATCTAGAGTTTTGAACTAAAAAACTATAATCTGTACAGTTGAATATTCGAATATCAATCATTTTTATTGCTTCGAATCTTGATGCATACAGGTGTGATAATCAATAGTCTAATCATTACCTTAATTATTTTATTTTATTTTAGCATATCATTGTCAATCTATGAAACAGTACATGATTAAGAAAATTTTCATTCAAAGGCGAAAGTTCTTGTACATATTCTTGCATCATATATTTTTCAACTATAATAAGATTAATTTATCAGTTCATTATCTTTTTTTTTTCAAAAACAATAAAAATATGTTATGCACATTATACTGTAAATGTAAAGTGAGAGATTAAAATTATGGTTTATTTATTTATTAGTAGTAGAAATCATTAACAAACCATAGAGTCTTACTTACGAAAACTAAATTGATCATCTTTTTTTTGGTCCAGTTTTCCAATTTTTTTTCCTATGAATAGTAGTTAATATGATCATTGGCAGAATGCATACCCATTAACGATAATCATTATGACTCTTGCGTGCAATATTTCTTTTTGGCACGTTGATAAATCGTATAAAAGCATTAGAAAACACCAGAGAAAAAAAATAAACAATCCCAATCTATTAATCATTCATTTTATTTCACATAATTACAAAAAAATTACAGAATATAATATGAATGTGAAGAAAAAATATGAAATAGGATTCTTTTCAGAGTAAACAAAAAACGGTAAATGTAGAAGACAAAATTAGAATGATTCTTTTCAAAAATATTAACTGTTTATTTTAAGACTTTCGGCTTTGTAATATTAAACTGGACCTTCGTGAATATAGTACCGTATTTACTATATGATTATGAGTATTGAAATAAATTGTGCTCACGAATTTTCTATTGTTTAATTTGATCTAAGTTGACGAAGAATAATGTTACCAACATGAAATGATTTGTGAATAGTCATGTATACCTTAAAAATTTAATAATGAAGATAAAATAAAACGAGTATGTCTTTTGAAATAAAGCTGAATGAAATTAGAAATTTCCCAAGCGCTGACATGAACACTCAAATATTTAATATGTGCACAAAATTTCAATTTATGAGCATGTGATACTTAGAAGATCCTACTTGGAAGCGAAAGAAAGACTAAGCAAATCAATCAAGTGTCTGTTTTGCAGATGTATTAAAAATACTAAGCAACTACTTGTTACTTTTATACACGATGAAGTTGACATGCAAATTAATTCAAAGAATGATGTTCTTATCAAAAATAACGTTTCATTAGAATGAACTGTAGATTGAATCAGAGTATAGAATATATTTTTTTGAAAAAGTCATATAAAATAGTAGCTAGTTGAAAATAGAAAAAAATCAATTTAGATTTATGTTGAGAACAAAGTTCATGCAGATTAAATATGGTTACATGATATTGATTCATGAATTAAGTTTTTTCTTTGGTAATTTCATTAGTATTTGCAGAATGTAAGTCGTCAGAGTGCTAGTTTCTTTAGTTAAAATAGTGATTAAGATGAAAATTGAAAAGTGATACACATCGTTTTTATTTTTATAAGATAAACTTTCTATTAATTTAACGAAAAACCTAATTAAAAGCAATTTTAATCTATTAAATAAGTTGCATATTAATAAAATGAAAGACAACAATTGAATGATAATTATCTCAATGCCATTAAACAAATGTAAAAATAGATGCATTTATTGTAATCGTGACGGTTTGTGTCGAATAATTGCTTTGCTGAGATTGCAGTTGTCTGCTGTTAAACTTATCGAATCAATTGATCGTACGTAACAGAATGAAAGTAAGAAACAATCGTCTGGCGTGCTTATTTCCAATATTGCGTTTATTCCCCTACCACAAACGACAATCTTACTGATTGCGCTTTCTATTCTTATATCGAGGTGTTACTTGCACCATTGAATTTAATCGATATATATATACAAAGAAATAGCAATAAGACATAGCTACTAGTAATATAAGTACAAGTATATGAGCTTGATTACCTTGTACAAATAACAATAGTTGCAAAAAAGTCAGGTAACAATTTAATCGACTCGATAATGTTAACAACTTCCTTCAGTTGAAAGACACATGAATGAAAATGAAGTAAGAAAACTAGCATACACAAGTAGATGGATAAGAATAAAACGATAAATAAAAGAAGTTCATTTTACACTTCAATGCAAATGTTTTTCTTCTTTGAAATGTGTCAAATAAAGTGAAATCTCCTATGATCATAGTATTGATCTTGATCAAATTAAAATATGTGACATATTCAACAACTTTGCGTTCAATTCTACAGCTAGAATATGAATTTAGACTGATGAAAAACTAGAACAATTAATACAGAAGTGATTAGAACCTGAAATTTCATTCATGGAATAACAATTGTGAGTACAAGATTTTTTGAACTTTTCTATTATAGTCTCATATATATTTGATTCAGTTTTGTAAAAAAAAATATAACACTATACCCCATAGATTCTCTCTAACACCGAAAAATGAATGATTGTTTGCATTCAATAGAAAACGATCAGACCATTATTCTTTTTTCTACTTGAATTCGATGTCTTTCTTTGCGATTTCCGCCAGAGGCGGATCCAGAAAATATGTTAGGGGGTGGCGCTCCTGGCCAAAAAACGGGTTTTCAAGTCTACGTCAGGCAGAACTACTATTTTCTGTTTCATTTTTGCTGGGGGAAACCGAAAAACATTCTGAAGGGGAGTGGCGATCGCCGGTACCCTAACTGGTAGATCCACCACTGTTTGAATACATCGAAAATGATACAGTTGTTGGAAACAAGAAGATATGAAATATAGTTAACAAAAATTTCGAAGGGGGTGGCGGTCGCCAACCCCGCCATCCCCCTAAATCCCCCACTGATTTCCGCCTTTTCTTTATTGATTCAGTTGATGATATGCATCCGTAAATTCTGGCATGGTATTAAACAAATTCTTCGATTGGTTTCTGAGTAAAATGATTCGACCAATCTGATTGTTTCTTTTCTGCTGCAAACCTAGACACACACGCACACATATATATTTGATATATTTTCTCGTTTGTTGGGTTTGAAACTAGGTCATATTCAGGAAGGCAGATATTCAACAGTAGAGACAGAGAGTGAAAAGAAAAGCGAAGATGAGGTAGGAGGACTGAGTCTTTCGTATCTGGTTTATTTTCAGAGAGAGAAAAGAGTTCATTTGTCTGTCTCGATATGAGTTATTCGTTGACGAACTTGTTGGTCTTGTTTTGAGTTAATGAGTTAGTTGGCCAGTATATGTTTGCCCAAATGAAACAAGTAGATAAAAGTAGAAGGAGAGAGAATCACATTATCCTAAAAAAGATATTCTCGACATAGGCATACTTGAAAAAAAAATATCAATACAAACTCAATGATCGACATATGCAGGTATGAAATAACTTTATGAGAATCTGGATATGCGCGCGTACTACACTATTGACCTCGAACTTCTTTCGATCTAGACAACGAATTTGAACTTGAGTTTGAAAATAAAAAGAAGACGAGAAGATTATAAATTTATATTTACTTCATTTTTTGTCTATCGAAACGAATAATTAACTAAATTTCAAGTGTACCATCTCACTATTCAAACAGAAGTCATTCATCAATTTATATACATTAGCCTATTATGTTTAAAAACATACGGATGCGATAAAAGTGGTAGATGACTGTGAACGTGTGTGTGTGTATATATAACATTTCAAAAACAAATGATACTCATGATCTATATCGAATGCATTTTTATGAGAATATGCGCATCATTGAAGATGGATGGATAATATATAGATTGATTCATTACTTAATATAATTAAACTAGAGAAAAAAAATACATATTGAACCACTTCATTATAATCGTCATCCACACTTATGGTTGAAATATAAATGAGTTGATTCTTCTTTTCCCATTCTATTTGCATTTTTGTAGATTAGTAAGCTTTATAAGAGGATGATGTAATACGATTTTGTTGGTGGACCAACAGAAATCGAATCTAGTGATGGTTTAGAAACGAAAAAGATACGTTTTTTTTATCAAACGTATCCATCACATGACAGGTATGCAAAATAAAGTGAAGTAAAACAAATTAACTAATCTTTCTTCATCAAATAGTAATACAATAAATCAATCTTTCTATTTTCCATCGTCGTTCGATATTAATAATTCATCAAATCCTAGTCAATATCATACAATCGATAATATGAATTATGATTATCAATTATTACCTGATATTTCTTCATCCTACTTGATTGATCCACATTCTCATACATATACAAATAATTGTTCAATCGATCCGTATTCAACTGAAACAACCTATAATTCAACATCAATGAATTATTCATCATCGACATATACATATTAACAACAACAGATTCATATCAACATTTTCATTCCATCTATACTAATACAAATGTTACTGCTCCAACTGTATCATCATATTTTGCATCCTCATCATCTTCTATTGATATACAACCTGATTATCAATCAAGAGCATCACAATGGGACTCGACTGTGATGAAAATGCATAGCCACGATGGTATGTATACGAATCTATCGTTTTTCTCTTTTGCTTTTATCAAAAAAAATGAGAGAAAGGATATGTCTATTTTCTAGTCACATCAACATCGAATTCTAGCAATAGTTGTACTAGTGCTAGCAAACAACCGTGTCTCGTATGTCATGAAGAATCATCCGGCTACCATTTTGGTGCATATACATGTGAATGGTGCAAAGCATTCTATCGACGAGTTACAAAAGGTAAGAAAAAATTGAAAAGTCATATTAATGCAATTCTTTTGGAATTACTTTTTGAAACACGATGTAGTTGCTAATGGTGAGTATAGAGTAACTGATTTAGTCTTTCTATTTTGACATGAGTTTCTTAACAATGTTTTCATTTAGCCATCCAAAAGTGTAATAATTAAGGAAGCCATTGATATACCATCTGATATTGCATATTCACACTATCTGTTGTAATGTATAAAGACTTCGAATCTATCAATATAATTCCTTCTATATTCTAGTTTAGATGAAAAAATGCAAAGTTTTCCTTTTCAATATAAAGTGTGCTCTAATTCTATAAAGCAATATAAAAAAAGAATGCTACAGTTACATCTCAATCACTTTCATCTTTTAATCTGCATGGCACCGACTAGTCAGTTGATATAAAGGAACAAGTGAGATACATGGTCTATTTCTTTGTGTACATAATAAGATCGGTTGGTCGAATAGGCGTGTTAAATTTAATACTAATGTCAGAATATTGACTGATAATTGTTTCACTATAGAAAATTTTCGACGGATAGATGATTTTTCTTTTGCATAGTGTGGTCAATTAGTGACTTTAGAGAAAGACTTGAATAGCGTCAGTCTGTTCAACTAGGTATAGATTCCTATAATTGACTGAACGGAAAAGAGAAAAAGACAATAATATATCCAGTGGCATAGTCAGAAATTTTTGAGTCATGGGCTGTTTCCCAGTTAAATGATTTTGTGGGGTGGGCACTAATGGGCAATTGCCCAATGGCCATTCACCTGGCTACGCCACTGGATATATCACAGAATAAAACATTTAGTCACATATATTTCTTGAAGAGTGGCAATAGACACATCGTCAACTCATTGAACGATAAAGAAGCTATTGATCAAATCAATAATGATACTTTAAAGCAAATATTTGTAAAAATTGTTCGTCTAGAAAAACAAGAGCTCTGGAGTATCGTCTGTCACAGAAAAAAACTTAGTCCTATAGAGTGAAATAGAATGCAAATATTAAAGTTTTTCAACATAGCATACTTTGAATAGCATCATTGGTGTCTTATCATCAGTTCGGCAAGTATGTGTTTATCTCAATATATGAAGAAAAAGATAAATAATAGAAACACTATTCAAAGTTTTAATTCCTTTCATTCAAGATGATTGATTTCAGCAGAGTAATTTAAGAAAAGTTCAGTTGCTACTTTAATGAAATCTCACTAATTCTACGATGTTGAAAAGGTTTAATTAATTTTAAGTTTAAGTTGATAACTTTGTAAATAAATTGTTTGTTTATTGTCATTATTAAATAGATCCACATATCGAAATCAAACATTCTTGTGAAGTTCGATTACCAAATATAGCTAAGTTCATTCGAAAAGATTGTCGGGCATGTCGTAAAGTTAAATGTGATCGAATAGGAATTACAGCTATGTCAAAAGATCGTACATCGCGAACAACAGTCAAAGCTACATCTAAAATTTCTGCAATACCTATTACAGATCTTCTCGAGCAACTCGGTCATGATCTGACATACGATCAATTATCAACATCATCAGCATTAGATAATATTCTTCGTATCATTGATTTACCATCAATAATGCCATTGAATTTTGATTATCATTCAATTTATATGAATGCTATTCAAATTTGGAGAAGTCAATATAATCATTCATCACAAATTGTTGCTAACGCTGTATTAAATGATATATTTGCTGTACTTCTTTTTCTCTTTTATACTTTTATAACAACGACAGAAAATAATGATAATAAATCAACAAATAATAGTGAATTTGATAAACTTGTTAATATACTTCAACAAGAAATTCATCGTATAACCGGTACTGATCTACGGTCAGCTTGTCGAATAAAAGCTTTTTTTATGAAATGTTATGTTGCACTTGCTCAATATCCAAATAGTACAAATCTTCTTGATGATAATAATCATATATCTCAATCACGATTCATATCTTATCAACACTATTCAGTTTATAGTCAATAAATAACTTTTTTCAAGTTGTAACATGTTTCGTTTGTTTTCTTCTTCTTCGAGCTCTGTTAAATTTATTTCATTGTTTATTCTTTGTTCAAATAGTACACTTCTCGTTTCTTCACAATAACAAAAAAAAGATAATATAATATGCTCCCACTACATATAAAAAATACTGCATAGAAAGACCAAAAAACATGTATCTGTTTATACAGAAAGAAAACAAGAAAACAAAATGAACCTTTTACGAGAATACACTTGGATTCGACCATGCTGTTCGTCGATTTTCAATTTCATGAATAAGATTAGCATGTTTCTCGTCGCGATGTCGTAAAACTTTAGTCTTATGATCGGTTTCTTCACGAAATTTACGTGCTATAACATCTTTATATAAACGACCGAATTCTTGAGAAAGTACATTCTCGTGATGAGCATGACTCCGCTGAGCTACGTCATGTTGTCGATATTGCTACAAAGGAAAAACAAACCTTTTTCAGTAGTTCTGTGATGAATAGAAAACGTAAGCAAAACGAAGAACTAAATGTTTTTTGTTTGATAATGCATAATAACGTGATAATTTTGCAACTATAGGTTATAATTAGCCAAACATTATATTCGATCTATCATATATCTCATGCTTTTATTAATCGTCAAGATTATCGATAAAACACTAGGTACTTGAGCCTGTGAATCTGAGTGAACAGAACCAATGCACGATAAAACTTCCTCAAGCTCAGATTGTTGTTCCTCATCCTTTTTGTAACCAATAGAATCTATTGGGTTGATTATATATTTGATCGAATTCGAATCTGAAATGTTTCTTAGACCGATCCTACTATTCTAAGAATGAATCAAGTCGAATTCCCATCTAATCTTATGATGGTTTTGAACCAGCTAGATACAAAACTTATGCAATTTTTGAGATACGTTGAGACTACTACTACAGGATTCACAAGAATATTTCTAATCTTATACTATAAAGTTTCAGAGGAGAAATATACATTCGACGAGGACAAACAAAAACTAACAGATTCAGCAACTCAAAATTTTGTACAAGCTATCGTTTTGTATATTTCTACATTTTTTTTTATAGACCTTGTTCGATGATAGTTTCTATTTTTCTAATTCTTTCTTTTTATCTAAGGGAAAAGGTTTATTATGAGCATAATACATCGAAAAGTTCTCCAGAAAACAGTCATCTATTCATTAAAATTCAATACAATTAGAGACATTTGCAGCTTCACATTTCTTTCAAATAAAAAAGAAAAATATTGACTGTATTGGATGTATAATCCAAAAAACAGAATTACAAAGAAACAAAAATCCTATTTTCTCAAGGTAGATTATTTCTTTAGACAGTAATGATTTCGCATTTCAAAAAATGATCCAGTGCCAAACTAAAAGCTATACGTTGTATAAAGAATTAGACATCAAATCATGTTTTCTTGTATTTATCTCAATTTTGATCTTTCTGATGAAAATTTGATTTTCGTTGATGAGCCGGTAGGTTCATCAACAAAATAAACGTCTTTTTCAATAATAAATATTTAGACGTACTGAGAGTTCCGTAGTTCTCTGTTCATTTAAACGGCGTGTCTGTATACGATCAGAACTTCGTTGAGCATATTGATTTTGTTTACAGCGTAGTTTTTGATTCACTTGATCTTCAACCGCTTGTGTTCTAATAAAAAGTCGATTTTTACAAAACTTTAATAATAAATAAGAATTAAAATAACCTTTGATGATTCTGATGAATAATTTGACTACGAAATTGTCGTTTGGCACCGATAATGCGATCAGATTTTTCTGTTTCTTGCTGTAGACGATTTTGAAAACGTTGTGATTGTTCTTTGGCTTGTTGTCGTTTATATTGTTCACGTTGAATTTGTTGTTGTTGAAGTTCTTTTTTAACTTCTTGTTGAGCCTATTTTTAAATTTTACGCTTTGTTTGATCTAAAACAAAAATAGTCTGCACATACTTTTTCATAGAGATGATTTAAATTCTGTCGACGAGCATCGTGTATTGTCGATGATTGACCATTTGAAGTTGATGGAACTAGTAATATATATTATATTTTTGATTTTGTTAAAAAGTTTCAAATTTCATGTTTTACTTACTAGGTGCTGATTTTAATTGTCTTGTATGCCAATGTTCAATTGGAGCAGATACTGATGATGGTCGATAAGCATCATGTAATACTGCAGCACTATGTGGTCTTGCCTTTTGACTTGACGGTATTGTTTGTGTGTGAGAATGATGAATTATGTCAGTTGATGGTGATCTTTCATTTTGTATTGTTGTTACTGATGATGATGATTTGAGACAAGATTTTAAGGTTGTTGACTCTTGAGATACAACAAGATCATCAACAGAATACCGTCGAATCGTGGATGCATCATTAAAACAAACATTTTTCTTTCTGATTTCTGATGAATTCGGTGAAGAATTAGCTGAATGTGAATGATGATGATGATGGGGATAATGATCAGGATGAGAATGAGCCATTGGTATTGTACTCAAAGAAGTCGAGTGCTGTGAAATTTGAGATGCAGAGGGTGATCGTTCGCCAAGTAAGAACCAATGGTGTTGAATTTGTTGATCAACTTTTCGATTGAGTTCATTACTTGTCATTAAACTTTGTGGTTTCTGTTGTGAAGACATAATAAGATTATTAACTTCATAACTATTGACAGTGGCTGGGACTGATTGTTGTGGTGCAAGTACAACAGGTGCGATTGTTGGTTGTTGTTGAGTTGGAATAAAAAATGGCCAATTATCTGATTTCATTGGAATAGGTGTAGGCATTGGATAACCAGGTAAAAGTACAGCTGGATAAGCAGCGGAATGGGTTTGAAGAAATTGTCGAGCACTAGATGGAATAGCTAATTCAAATTTAATACGCTCATATCTGTGAAAAACAAAGAGAATCAAAATAAATTAGATATCGTGATGAAAAAGTTTTCGAAATTATCTACTTACAAGGCAGACGGAATCCAAATAGCTTCTTGTAATCGTTTAAGTGTTACAGTTTTTCCATTAGCAAAATGAACAACTAATTGACGGATTTCTCCACCTGAAATAATCAATTGTGACATTTTGATTTAAAAATGTGATCAACTCTTATTCAGCATGAGAGTGAAGACTGCCTAAACTCTAGAGAATGAATTAGTTAACCATTTACGAATAGGCATCCATGATATGTACTCTGCGCTTATGTTCTCAAAAATAATTCTTTCTCTGTCCAAAGGTTTCAGTTAAGATTTCAGAAAAGAAAATTCAATTACTTTCACAGGAAGCTCGCTTTTCAAAACCATCCAATACTTCTGCAGGAACAAATCGACCTTGTTGCCCATCTGGCGCAAGAACGAAATCGCCTGTTTTAATATTATGCATTAATGCATCCGTATAATGTATGATATCAAATAAATATGTCGGTTGAAAATCAGATTCACTAAAGGCACCAGTTGTTCGTGGTCCGAATTCAACCATAAATTGATTGATATTTAACTGTATAGGTGAAATTGTGATTAGAAGAATTTGAATAATAATCTATTTTACCTGATTCAGAATTTTACCACGATAATAATAACCATCTTTATCTTTCCTAGCTAAACATTCTTGTCTAGCTAGAAGTGCACCAACTTCAGATGAAACACCTGTTTCCATTGGTGGTCCTCTTATACCCGTATTTAATGATCCATCAACAAGTACTACTGGTTTAACTGCATTTTCTATTTGATAATTAATCATAGGAGCAAGCCCTTCTAATGTGCCTGTACGTGAAAAATATGCTATTGTTAGTGAACCACCTGTCAATGCAGCTAAATCTTGAAGAAATTTCACAACAGTTTCTTGTTCATGCGCTGTATTTAATGGTGTATTGATATAGAATATATGACATGGTCGTTTTTCTTGTTGTTTTTGTTGAAGAAAATGTAAAATAACGTTCGGCTCTTGATCAGGTATACCATCAGTTATAAGTACAACTTGTTGACATAATGAATCAGTGAAAGCTGTAAGCAATCCACCTAAAGTGTTTGTACCTGTTTTAGGTACTAAAGAATGTAGCCAATCATCAGCAACAAGTACTGACGCATGTGACCAAAAGACACATCGATCAGCCCATCGACGTATATCAGAATTAAATTCTATTAAATTGAAAAGTAATGTTTGCTGTGGATTTGCTACATCAACAGCATGAACACGTAAATATGATGAAAGATGTTCACGAACAGCTACTAAACATGAATACATCGAACCGCTGGTATCAACTAAAAAAGTTGTATTCAAATTCGGTATTACAGAACCAAATAGATTCATTGTTGCTGCCATTGTTTCTATATGTCAGAACAAACTGACGTGTAAAACTTCGCCATCAGGTGTTAAAATGTAAAGCATATAAACACAACGCCATTGAATGTGTAGTAGTCACATCATTAACGTGGCAAAAGAATAATTTTTAAGGGAACAGCTCGCCACTGCCATCTATCAAATTATTTCTCTTCCATATCGAACAACTTTAATACATCAAATGTATATGAGAAGATATATTAAGAAGTATTCGTTCAAGAAATTGAATCGAACATGTTAGTTCACGTCTATGTGGCTTATTTTCTTCAAATTATACCAAAAATGTACTTGTAAATTTTTAAGTACTATCTAGATATGATACATGCAATATAATACCAGGTATCTAGTATAACATCAACGGCTTTTGTATGACAATTGAAGTAAAGCACTTAGCTTTCTGGTTACGTATTAAGTAATCTTTTCTTTTTACATAAAACTGCAGAAAAATAAAATGATGATGAAGTTTACGAAAAACAGTTTATTAAACTAACATACATGTATTCGAAGTTTTCTCTGATAAACGGTTCCTGATTATATAAAATATTTTGAATTATAGTACGCTAGCAGGCAAAGAAGAAGCCATTGGTCATAGCTTGAATTCCGTTTATAACATAAATTAATGGGCTTGAGTGGATATAGTGCACAGCGAATTAGCCATGTTTCAGACGAAAAGAAAATGTTCATTCTTATTAGTTCAGAATATATAGAACATAATTTGTAATTTATATAAAAAAGAACATTTACGTTATCTAAGATACGATCATCATGACAAAGTCGCTTTATTTTAGTAATTATTACTTTATACATTTTTCTTTTAATAATTTGAGAAAAGAAGCATATGATGTTTAGGTAAGTAGCAGCTGTATTCCTCTCTCAATGATATTTTCTTCTTTTTCTTTTTCGATTTTCACTATAAAAACACACCGAATCACCAATACAAAACAGTATTTTATTTTTTAGACTAGTATTTCAAAATGTATTGTCATCAGTTACTTCTTATAGTAAGCATTGCGGTTTTTAGTAATGATTACAGTCTACTTGTTGCTGGTAATTCAATATCTCAATTGCTAATTTTTGAAATTTTCTAATCGATATTTATTTGTATAAATGAATAGCTGATCCAGCCATACCAATTTGGCCAGTTGCCTTTCAAGAAACGTTTACTGAAACAAGTACTTTACCGATAGTTGGAACAGGAACAAATATTCAAGGAACCTATTATTATGATTTTGATCAGAAAGCCGTGTCAGTTAACTTTTTAATTATATTTATACTAGTATATTTACGTTTTTGCATTTCGTTTAATAGTCGTATTGATCGTTCAACAGGCAAATATGATCGTTACTGCAGCTCAGTCAAACTCTTACAAGATGTTCCATGCACCCATCTTGTTGTGAATGGTCTTCGTTATCTTGTATTTCCATCATTAAAGTCATGTTGTATGTGTTGTACATCAGAAAGTGGTTGCGGTGTTCTAAGTCCTAATTGGTTATCTAATGCTACGTTTGTTGGATATAATACGACAAGTACAGAGAAATATCAAGTTTGGAATAAGAAAGGCCTTCAAAATAATTTTTATTGGCAAGTTGATTCTACTCAAGTGCCCTATATAATTGATCAAGAACCAAATGATTTAATGGTGTATGATGTGACAAGTTTCAAAAAAGGTGCTATTGATCCAAGTGTATTCGCTTTACCTTCATATTGTTCAAAAGATCAAAAATGTCCTTTCTTGTCTGTTTGCACCGTAGCTCGTTAAAATAAAGATTAGCTACACATAATAGACTATTGATTCAATGTGTTTTTATCTCCGCAGATTAATAAAATAAAATCTTATTTTATTTTATTTTATTTTATCCCTAATAATATTTCTACAATTAGCATACATCAAATAGGAATATACATTAAAATTTTGCCACTTATGTATACTTTGGTAAACGACATGGATGTAAATTTGAGTGAAATAACGAATGACTTAGGTGTTCACTCACATATCACAGTTATGGTTGAATGATTCTTTTAATTTTTTTTTTCGAGCAGAACTCAGTCGAAAGAAAAATAGAACGTAAAATAAAAAAGGATTAAATAGTTTATAAGATTTATATGTGTATAAGTATTGTTATAAAATCATTTGAATTTGGTCCCGATAGAACATTTGTAACATATCGTTGTTGTTACGAAAGCAAACCAAATTATGTGAAGATTGGTCGTTTTGTCTCATTCAGCTTTTCGTTCGATTAATCATTTAACTAGGTACAATAAAAACCATGAGAAAAAAAATATGAATATAGGTTTGCGCTTGCTCACTTATTCGTCCCTTCTGTACATTGTTGCATCACATTATTATTAATGCTTTTTTTCTGTCTGTCACATAAACGCTTAGGGTATTCGACACATTGCTGTTTACTTTTTTGTTCTTTCTTCGATAATAATGATTAGTCATCGATTACAATCAGCACCTATTACAGGCTATTATCAATATTTGTCGCAAAGTCGTCACAGAGTTAATGTCGCACCTTATACAGGAGCTGACAGCAAAGAAGCAACGACGAAAAGCACAACCACCATCACCACTACCACTGCTTCTCCTGTCGCTGAGGTAATGAACGATCATAGTAGAATATCTGCAATAGATTCGTCGTCTATCGACAACATACAACAATCATTGTCGAATCTCAGAGATAAAGATGTAACAAAATGGTCATCCATTGATGTACAACAATGGATTGAGGAACAATGTCAACAGTTCGAATTAAAGAAAGCGACAAAAGAAAAATTTCAAATGAATGGTAACTAATTATTTATTTATAATATTAAAAACTTTTTGTTTTAGGTCAAGCATTAGTATTGTTAACTAAACATGATTTTCTTCGGCGTTCACCAGATGAAGGAGAAATACTTTATTATGCTCTACAACGATTAATTAGTAAGTTCTTCTCTTTTTCTTTGCTTATCATAAATCACTTGAAACAGATCCAAATAAATTCAATGCTATTCGCACGAATCAGAATTTGATGAGAAATGGATCATCTCGTCAGAATCCTCGCATCATTGAAGTCGGCTCAGACACAGATGATCAAAACAGCTACACAAGTTCTTCAACACCAACAAAGCCAATTGTTGAAGAACCTGATGACTCACCACTACTTCGTAATCAGGACTCAGACGGAATGCATAAAGATCATCTCCATCAACACTATCAACACTATCCTCATGGATTCGCCTATAACAATTCTCACATTAGACAATCCATGTTCACAATGCCTCCTGCTGCTGCCGCAGCTTATTTTCATCAACAACAAGTATTTCCTAATGGTTATACGTATGCGCATCATCATCATCATAATCATCATCATCATATAAACCAAAATATGCCTTATCAACAATTCTTCCATCCGCATCCGCATCCCCATCCTCAGTTTATTCATCAATACTATCCAATGATGTCTGCTCAAGGAATTTTAATCGAGTTGATTGATAATGAAGACGCTAAAACTCTTGCTGCCAATGGAGTTAAATTATCTACGAATGAAACTTCAAACAATGATTTAAATACTGAGGATCAAATACAACTCTTTCTTATCACAATGAATGGACAAAAATATGTTATGACCGAAGAACAAATAAAACAATTTGTAGTTGAAGTTCATCAACAACAGCAACAACATTTGCAACAACAGCAACAACATTTTCAGCAGCAACAATTTCATCAGCAATACGCATATCCACCACAGCAACAAACATCTCAAGATAATGCCTATTATAAGCCATAATATGTATTTTTGACTTTCTTGTGCTTTCTTTTTCAATAGCGATTATCTATAAATTTAAAATTTACAACATTTTCATGGGATCATGCACATTGATGCACAACTTTAGTATCCTTATTTTTGCTTTCATAAATGTTTTCAAAGATAAATAATAAAGAAATTAAGTAGAATTGATAGTTGTTACATAAGCATCTATCTCCTTGATCTGAACCTTTTTTCATTATTACTACATGATACTATAAATTTGAAGAATTATTTATTTTTAACTCCAAAGCTTCTATTCATAATCTTAATTGTGAAACGCAAATTTCTTTGATTATTATGTTTCATGTTTTCGCAAAAATAATTTCTAAGAACTACTTTTTTTAAAATATCTAATTGTAAATTCTTCAAAAACAACATAGAGACCGAACGAATATAGTTTTTGATATTAGTAAACAAAGTCATATCAACATCCAGTTCTATTAGACAAAGCATTTTTATGGATAAAGATAGTTTTTCATTCAGCATAGAATTTCATTATAAATCATTTCAGATATTTGACTGTTAACTATAGTAACATTGTCACAGAAGATCTCTACGGTGGCTATCATAAACAAATGCAAGAAGAACGAAAGTAAATAGGAAAGAACTCGTAATGCAAAGAATCTTAAGTTGATGCGAATAAAATAAGTATACCGATAAACAACATTTAGAATACCGATGGAAATCAATAAACAAGTAATACATATACTATAGACGAGAGAGAAAATGTTTAGTCTCTACCAAGGGGGAAGTAACTGATTTCAATAGCTGAAATCAACTTGAAATCATGTGAAATCATTCGAAATCATCTGAAATCACCTGAAATCATTTGAAATCAATGAAATCGCCCGAAATCACTTGAAATCACTTGAAATCATTTGAAATCATTTGAAATCATCTGAAATCATTTGAAATCATTTGAAATCATTTGAAATCATCTGAAATCACCTGAAATCACAAGAAATAATTGGTTTATGCATGCATTGCGGGAAAGATAAAAATCCAAGAAAATTCAAAATTTTCACAGAAAAAATCTAGATTTTAGCTTTT